CTGCTTGAAATTTATGGAACATATAATCTCGGCCAACTTCGAAGACGTCGGCCGCCCTAAGTATTGTTCATGATACTTGAGGCGGCCGACGTCTTCGAAGTCGGCCGAGATTACTTCCTATATGACGAAGAATACTTGGGGCGGCCGACATCTTCGAAGTCGGCCGAGATTATTTCATCCATAAATTTCAAGCAGGTTAAGAGAAAACATCTCAGCTGACTTCGAAGATGTCGGCCGCGCCAAATATTATGAACAATACAAGAAGTTTACCCTGCTTGCAATTTATGGAGAAAATAATCTCGTCTGACTTTGAAGATGTCCCAACCCAACCCAACCCAAGTATCATGAAAAATACTTACTACCCTTAACTTGCTTGAAATTATGGAAGAAATAATCTCGGCCGACGTCTTCGAAGTCGGCCGACCAAAGTATTATTCATGATACCTTAGTCGGCCGAGATTATTTCTCCATAAATTTCAAGCAAGTTCAGAGAAATAATCTCGGCTGCTTTGTATCATTTTGCTCAAAAGCAAAGTGATACAAAGTGCCACTCAATGATCAACTTAGAGGTAAATTCCTCGTCCTTGAACGTTCCTACTGTAGATGTGAACATTAAGAGGTGATTAGCACGACATTCTATTAATAGTCGTGATGGCAGAAATTTCTACAATCTCAGACAAGCAAAGATCTCAGAGCCGTGTACGTCCAGATTACTCAACATTCTTATTTTATACTAAAAAAAGACAAAATTCTGGTTATCATTTCATCTAATTTGACAAAAAGTATTGGGTTGACTAATATATATTGGGTAAGACTTGGGTTGGGTTTGGATTAAGTTTGGGTTCGTGTTGGATTGGAGTTCAGCCAACAAATTGCTCCATCTGAAGATGAAGACGATCGTGATGTGAACAACCATGAGAAATGATAGTAGAGAAATGGTAGAATCTATTTTCAAAGAGGTAGCGTGCAGTATGATGGAATCATTAGATACCAGAGTCAAGAAAGAAATGTAACAAGCTGAAAAGAAAGATTTTTTAGCCAAACAACGCCAAATATACAAGAGCAAGATGTGAAATTAAGATTCTAATATGTCATTTAAAACGATCAAAATTACCTTAATTTTAATTGTGGAGCAAGATTTTGTCACATCTCCAATAATAATCAAGATTTCTGCTTAACATTACTATTTAATAAAATAGAAAAAATACGTTAAATACACTTTATTTCATAAAATAACATAGGCACTGATAAAAGAGAGAATAAGAAAAAGATTCACAAACAAACAATTTGATAATATAGCTTCTTTTGAATAGATATAGATAATTTCTTTCATTTTCTCTATCTAAAAGGAATGTAAGTGGCTAAATTGAACAGCTCAAAGCGACTGAAAGGAAGTCCTCGAATCCTAAGGTAATCATGCCTTTCCTTTCATTATCTCGCTGTCTAAATGCTTCTGTAAACCTTTGAATTTGAACGCACGCCACAATAAATTGGTCAACTGACATTTGCTTGTGTGCTTCTAAATCACTTTTATGAATGAGAAATTGAATGAAATTTGGTGAGAATCGAAATCCCATTTGTTGAAATGCTACAAAAAAAAACAAAAATTAAACATTCCTTATATTAATGTTTTAATGAATCACCATTTGCTAATTCATGTTCTTCAATATGCCCCGAATTATCTCTATCATAAGTTCTAAATACAGTTAACCATTGATTAATATAGCTGTACAACTGTTGAAATTCATTAATATCAATGGTACCGCTTTTATCATGGTCAAACATTCCAATCATTAATTGGCAAGCCATATCAGAGAAATTTTTTCCTTGTGCATTCACTAAAGCAGATTGCAATTCGTGTGAGTTAATCTTTCCAGAACGATCCCTATCGACGGTATGGAACCATTGTTGGATATCTGGGGATACCCCGCCTGGAGGCCCCATAGGGGGAGCTCCACCTCCATAACCACCCTGAAAACCTCCATAACCACCTCCATAACCACCCTGTTGTTGATACTGTCCGTGTGGATTCTAAATCAAATCCCATTAAAATAAAGAAATTTACTCAAAGAAGCAACAAGAAACTTACCGGATACATTTTCAATCAATATATAACAGATAAACGAGTAATATGCGATTTGTTATCTATACAGATAAAAGGATTAGGTGGAGTCGAGTTATGTGTCAGATCTAAGTATCACCATAAATATTTGTTAACAACAAAATAACAGCAAGTTTACGTATTTTAACTGTCAAATCATCTAAATGGCAGGAAAATGTTTTTGAGCATGCGCTTTAAATTCCTGCTGGTATCTCAAATCAAGGAAATGTTTTAGGTTGGTATAAGCCGATTCTGCAGGAAACTGTAAATAAATTGACAGGTGACAATTGACAGTTCTTATATTTAGCACTATTTGTTATACTCTAAATGTTTTATTGCTTAAATGATGACGGAATTTCACTTATTTACTTCTGACGTCAAATAAATGACACATTTGCACGAATATCGCCGAACACGAATACGAGTATGTGTCAAACACAGAATCTTGAGAATGATAAAATTTTTATAATATAGCGAAATTATGCTGTGTAGATAATAATTATCTTTAATCTATTTCCCTGGAGAACAATATGTGTTTTCGATGTGATAAATATTGCTTTTAATTAATTGTATTCCTATAAATTAATTTATTTAAGTAAGTATCAATAATCACTCAAGTATTTTGTGTTGTTTGATACTTTTCCATTACTTTTTAGCTAAAAAGTAAGAAATATGGAAGAGAAAAACAACGCAGATGTTAATTGGTCAAGATTTGGATTGGGAACAGATAAGTCATCAAGATTACGAGGAAATACCACTGGTTTTGTAGACTTGGGAAATGAATATGATTACGGAGCAGGTGGCCACCAAGCATCAGGAGCAAATGAATTGTTCGCCGAAGAACAAGGTGATGTTCCATGGTGGAAATCAAACTTTTTTATATCACAACCGGTTCTTTTTGGAACATGGGATGGCGTATTCACTTCTTGCTTAATAAACGTTTTTGGTGTAATCGTATTTTTACGATCCGGTTGGATTGTTGGACAAGCTGGAGTCTTTTGTGCTATATTAATTGTCTTTGCAACAGGTAAAAACGAAATTACTGCTATATTTCTATCCCAACATTTCATATTTTCAGTCTTCATTGCTTTAATATCGGTCTTATCAGCCGTGGGAATTTGCGAACGTTGCCGAATAGAAAGTGGTGGTGTTTATTTTTTGCTTGCGCATGTTTTGGGATCTAGATTCGGTGGCTCTATAGGACTCATATATTGTTTTGGACAGGTAAATGCCGAATTTTGTAAAATTTTAAATTTACTTTTTTTATTTTAGGCTGTTGGTTGCGCATTGAATGTTCTTGGGTTTGGCGAAACAATGGCGGAGTTGATTGGAGCTGGAGATTTTATTTGGGCTAAAAGAGGTATTGCTGGAGCTGCAGTACTTCTTGTTAGCATGATTAATATTGCTGGAGTCAAATGGGTTATTAAATTACAATTTATTTTGCTAATTATTTTATTATTAGCTGGTTTGGATTTTCTTGTGGGAAGTTTTGTTAATACTGATATTGGTATGTTGGATACAGTAAAACCTTGATATAATGGACAACTTGGGTTATTGCTCTTATTGCGTATTCATAAATAAACTTGGGGTATTCCCAGAGTGGTCTACATGATGTATAAATCAAGTCTTAGAGTTGTTCCCCAGATGCAGCAGTCCTCTTAGATTCTACCATCCTTGATAATAATAATAATAATTCACTTTATTGCCCAACAAAGCTCAATTACAAGAAATCAAAAGAAATAGCACATGCTATAAAACAAATATAACTCATATAAACACTCCTACACTATTATTGTTAGTTAGTTTACACATCCTCTGCACCAGGGAGTTAGCTAAAATCTTGAATCTGCAATTCCTCAGATAAAACTCATTGGTACTACGTGATGTAGTAAAAATTTGGTCATCTCTTCTCACGCCCAGTGTAGAAACGAATATTTGAGCAATTTCCTCTGAATTCTTTCCACCACACATATTGTGGTGGACAAATTACAGAGTCAAGTTCCATTTTGGACAATACAAAGGTCAGAAACATCAGTGTGTGCAACACACTGAGAAGTAAGAGGCTTGTAAAACTTTAGCTGATAACGGTTACATCATTCCACCAAGACTGAACACTGACAACATCATAGTCCGAAAAATAGGTCTGGATAGTTTCAGATCATCCGCATAAGCTAGTACACCAGATGAGAATTTATCTAGAAGGTCATAACAAATAGTAGAGGGCCTAGATTTGAGCCCTAAAGAACACCAGACCTAGTCATAAACTCCATACTTATAGGTAAGAGGTAAATAGTTTCATAAATTTAGGAGATAATCCAAAAGCGTCATGATGAATCCACCTGATCGCCCCTATCCAAAGATTCTGTCCGAAATAGAGTGTATTACAATTATTCAAAGAGCTTAAAGTGCAAATTAAAAGTATTAGTCCGTTATATCGAGGTTGTAATTATTTTTTTAATAATAAATTAATACTTTTATCTTTATAGCAAATGGTTTTGAAGGCTGGTTAAGTGGAAATTTAGGTTTAAATCTTTGGCCAGCTTATCAAGATGGTTACAGTTGGTTCACCGTTTTCGGTGTATTTTTCCCAACTATAACCGGGATTTTATCTGGTATTAATATGAGTGGGGATTTAAGAGCGCCATCCGTTAATATTCCGAACGGAACTTTAGCGGCAATCAGTACGGGAACGTTTTTCTATTTGATTTTTGTTATGGTTTTGGGGGCAACCTGCACCAGGCATGCTTTATTAACTGATTTTAATATAGCCGCAACGGTTTCTGCTGTACAAGTGTTATTATTAGCTGGTTTGTATGTTTCATCGATGTCGAGTTGTTTGGGAGCTATGTATGGCACACCTAGGGTTTTACAAAGTATTTCATTGGAAAATGTCATTCCCGGAATTGGAGTTTTAGGACGTGGAGTAAGTTGGGATTTAAATTTTGTTGTGATAAAATTGTGTAATTTTTTTTAATTTAGAGAGGTCCAAATAAAGTGCCCTTATACGCTTTAGCCGTCGTAGCAACAATAACATTAACATTTATCTTAATCGGCGATATTAATACATTAGCACCAGTCGTAACATTGCCGTTCCTCTTGACGTATGCGTGCGTCGATTATGCGTATTTCGCGTTGGCACAAACTTTTGATCTTCAGCATCAACGCGAACAAAGATTTTGTAAGCAAAAGTCTCAATTGACATTGAACAATCATATCGATAGCAACGATTTGGACGCTTTATTTCCGGAACGTACGCGCCATAGAACGTTACGCGCAGATTCCAGTTCCGGTTCTATAAGCAGCCCTGAAGATCGTTCCGAAACAACACCGATTGTGCCTAAACCACATATTCATTCAAAAACGAAAAATTGGTACTCAAGTTTATGCAACAGATGGTTATCGTTGATTGGGGCCGTTATGAAATTGGTCGTTATGTTCTTGGTCCATTGGGCGTACGCTTTAGCCTGTATCACCGTTGTGTTCTTGGTTTGGTTATACATTGGTACGGCAAATCCCGCTGTTAAACCTGGGTTGGCAGCTGAATTTCGATTTTTCCGCTGGTTCAAAACCGTTATGTATAGATGTTTTGGGTAAGATTTTTGTTTTTAAAGCCGCAAAATCCAACAATTTCTTTTTATTTCCAGAAAACGTGTACATGAATATGAACAAATTGTGGTAACACCAGTAAACCCAGTTGTCGATATTGCACCTGCACAATTAAACGAGGATAACGAGGACTTTGCTTCGCGAAGACGTTACCATCAATCCGCCACTGTTCAAGGGCAGCTTGTACAGATTGAAGATTAACAATATGTTTAAGATGAAAGAAAAAGTATTTAAGAGTGAAAGTCATTAAGAGAAAAAATTAAAAAAAAAACATTTTGCAATATTTTAATACTTAATATTTAATAAAAATAACGCGTGTAATAATAACGTTTATTATATTGCTGTAATTAATAAAGAAAAGTGCAAATTATCTTTTCTTTATTATTAATTTACTGGGAATTTTAATAATTTTTTTTTCAATAAAAAAAAGTAATATATTGCTTAAAAAATCTTATATTTATTTACATTAAGTAAAATGAAAGCACAGCATGATAAAAAAGAAATTGGTAAAATTTCCAAACGGATCCCTTTGTTTATTCGCTTTTCTCCATAGCCTTTTTAAAGACGGCGTTTCTAAAGAGCATGCTTAAATAAGGATCCCCTAAAGAAGTGGCATGACTGCTAGCAACGCCCCCTCGTCCGGTGCTGAAACTGTTCGCGATGGCTGTTGAAGATCCTGGGGTATATTCGCTGGCGTCCCTTCCAAGTCCTTTACTAGATCCACCTTGTATCATGATTGGGAAGAAAGAACTGTAAACGCCGCCGGATTTCGAGTTGGGTTGGTTCTTGAAAGGCCATGAATGTTCTTCGTCTTCTTCTTTTGGGGAGTCGTTCTTTTTTAAGTCCGGTGTGTTTGGGGTGTCTTCGAATTGTTCGTTTTCTGATTTGGTTTCGGTGTTTTGAAGTGATTGTGTGTCTGCTGAAAATGTGTTGGTTGAGATGGCATCGGATCCGAAGGCGGACATGAAATCTTCTGGTTTGTAGGTGTATCTTGGGTTGAAGTTGCTGAACATGAGCGTGTGTTGGCTGTACGGGGCGGTGTTGCTCCAATCTGGTAAGTTGAGATGAAGAAGTCGGCGAGAATAGAAATGACGTGAATAGGGTGTCTTACCTCTCGGAAACTGGTGGGTGTATTGAAAGCTGCAAATGGCGATGAAGACGAAGAGAAGCTTATCCATTTTGATGTCTGGTCTTAGACTGTTGATCATTACGATGATGGTCAATGTTTATATAATGCGAAGGAGTATCCCCACCTCGAAGCAACCCTATCGCTCACACCCATCTCGAAAGAATGTCTCACCTAGGGAATTCAAGTCGCGTCGTCCCGATCATGCAAAATAAGGTAGCTAGACTGATTTTCAAGTTGGATAGACGATGTGATTCGTTTTCATTAAGTTCTGTCTCGTCTTGTATGATCGTCACGTGGTCGCATACTGTCTCGTATGGCACTAGTATACTAGGAATTACCTAGTTTTGCATAATTTCTGCATTACGCGGCCACTAAAGTACACATGCAGACGCCGCGGCAGTCGTCGTCGTCCGTAAACCCCGTAACTCTTCGTCGGCTCTTTGGCCCGATCGCCGCCGAGAGCTGAATCGCTAATTTCGCGCATGATTTACAATGAAGGAAGTCGTACGGCACGGACCCATTTAGGCCTGGACTTGCATCTTAATCATGGTTAAGGTCGCCTTTTGGTTGATCATTTATATGCAAGCCGACAAACTTTATACCAAATTTTTATTAAAATGTAAAGATTTTAAAATGATATATTTAGTATGTTGAAATTAAACGAAAATGTATCAAAATATTTTTATTGGAATACAGGATAATTTGAAGGCTATAAGGAAACTTTTACCAAAATCTGACCTTACGGTCATTACGTAATGAAATATGTATGAGTGGCGTGAGTCGCCTGCGAACCATCGACTTAAACAAACAATTAGTCACTTCGCAAACGTTTATTATCACAGATTACATCTGATTCTTGATTTGGGTTTTTTGTTCTTGAAACGACTCACTCCTTTCCGTCGCCGACGCTCGTTCTGCCTTGTCTGATGTTCTTTCTTCTCACAGTCAACGAGGAGGCGACGACAATTTCATCGAAAGGTTGCCCATAACTCTCTAAACCAAGAACGAAATCGGTCAAAATTTGTATTAAAATAACCTGCCTAAATCGGAATACTCACGGGATAATCCTTTAGGGCCATCGCTGCCGTTGATTGGCAACGAAAAGCAGGTGCACAACGCAATGCAAAGGAAACAAAACAGATGGAAACAGTACCGCATGTTTCTACACACTGCTGCAGTCTACAAACGAAAGCGGACCCCGGCCTTTACTTTTCTTCACTCTCATAAAACGTCACCAGGAATGGGATAGTACGACACCGACCTCCGCGAAATATCGACCGGTTTTCTCTCATTTCTCTTTTAGATATCAGAAGGATCGATCGGTCGATCTCCTTTTACCAACTATGCTGTTTCAAAACCGGCCGATCTAAAGAACAAAGAATTTTACAAACAACTTTAACATACAATTTTATTTCTTCTTAATAATATTATCCAACATTGTTTTTAATTACATTATCTGCATACATTATGATTTAATTAAAAAACAACCACGTAGTCGCCTCTCGCATACTAATAGTTTGATTTTCCCAACTACGTTTTATTTTGAACGCTTTATTTAAAAAACATTTGCGAGTAAAATTATCTATGGTTCAATAACCTATTCTTTTTGTTGTTTTAGAATTTTAAAATTACTTACTCTCAATTTAAAAAATTTAAATGGTTTAAAATTGTGTCATTTGAATTAATTCATTAAACGGGGTAAGAACCCACATCGACTAAATAATTTTCGCAAACTAATTAGATATACGATGGTACCGGCACGTTTCGCAACATAAAATTGGCATAATTACCAAACGGGTTGTGAAATGAAATAAAAAATGAGACAACACGTAAAAGTTTGGAATTAACATATTTTTTATTGATAATATCCACAACATTTCTCGTTACAATAATAGTAGGCGTCAATTAATCAATTGAGACAATATTAGGAGCCGTTTTGCTGACGGTGTTCGATATATAACATGAAAGATGGCACGTAAAATTTATACAAAAAAAGAATAATCATAAAAAAACATACCGACAAATTGTTCCCTTATATACAGTTACATACAACAATGCAATTGACGTCATCAAGTTTCGAAACAAACCTTACGCTTGATCCCCCGGGTCTACTAGTGTTAAAAAAAATTGGTAACTATATCTAGAAATATGTTTTTTTTCTTACAAAGTCAAAAAAAATGCGTATGTTCCATTATTCGTTTGATTTCTAGAAAATATATAAAACCTATATATACACAGTGGGGTATTTTGTTTACATTTAAATATATCACAGATATATGCACGGATGTCCGCAGATCTATGTATTGCACTCTTGAACATTACGAACGCGGGTATTTCCGGGATGATATGCCAGTCCTCGAACCGTAGGAAAACAAATGGTCGTGCTGTATGTATCAGGTACTATTATTTATTAAAAAAAATATCAATATATAAAAACAAAGTTCTCTTGTGATGTCTATTTCGAATGACCGCGTCGTAATGTCGAGACGGCGTCTTGTATTTTCAATGTATATCAAAAAAGGCAGCGATTTTGAGATTTCCTGTGTCGTTTTTCTAATAAAAAAGTAGTAAAGCAGTCCTACGAGTAAAAAAATCAGTTTTTCGTTTTAATCTATGTCACAGTTTTAACAGCTCTCGGTGGTCTGCGTTTTTCCGGGCAACGCGGGCATCTCCTCTTCTAAAGGTGCCTGTTCGTGCGCTATATTTATACTACCCGCCTTATACCAAACAATTAAATCAACGAAAAAAGCGCATAACAATATCCCACCCGTCGTTCCGTGATAAAACATTCGAAAAACATTCGAATCATATAATTTGCACGCCCCCGTTTCATCTTTAACCATCTTCCAATCTAAACAAGCCGAATCCACAACCGCTCCGTAAATAATCGGACACGGTACGTTACCGAATAAGCCAATAGCGAATTGTATCAAACCCAAGGCCATTGCTTTATCTCGAGGATCGACGCACCTCAAAATTAACAACATCGAACCAACCTCCGAGGTTGAGTGTATAAAAACAAAAAGCGAGAATAGGATTATGTAGAGAATGAAGTTTGAACACTCCCCGTCGCAATATCCGGTCGAAGCCGTACCAAGCTTGTCTATAGAATCCAAGATGGTCGTGTTATAAGTTGCGGATAAACATAAACAATCCGAGTATTCAACAATTTTCCCATCGTGAACCGTAAAATTTTGGCAACCAGCGTGGCATGCCGAAAAGTACGTTTTACCATCGTTTCCGCATATCGGCGCAAATTTATCCGCACTACAATTACAAGACATTGTCGAGTTGCATACGGGTTGTTGTTGACCATAACTAAAAAAAATTTGTATGAATTTCATGGTAATCATAAAACAGCTATAATTACCCTTCGACTGTATGCATTGGACAACCTATGAATGTTAAAACGGCCATTCCTAAGGCGTAAACAACGGCCGTAAACGCAATCCAACCAGCTACAAATCTTGCGTTTGGTTTAACCCGAAGTATAAAGATGCCACTTATTATTATTCCTAAACCCATTACAAGAATTCCTCCCACGCCTATTTTAAAACAAAAAAATTATTTTAAGTTCTTAACACATCTTGCGCGGGCACTTTGCCGCCAAAGTCGGCCATGTAAAACAAGTTTAGTCGTTTCCCGCTAAAGATGTGAAATCCGCGCCAAACGACTTTAGTCGCTTCCCGCGCAAGATGTGTTAAAACAAAAAAATTAATCGTACCTGATATCATATTTGCTGAAGGTGTTGGTAATCTAAACTGAGACTCGAGGTATTTCGGTAAAAAAGTGTATAAACCAGCTATTGGAAGTATATGCAGCACGCTGCTGGCAGTACGGAACATGAGGATGTCATTCTTGAGCAGTCTTTTAACGGTTTTTGGAAAGTCTAAAAAGCAGCAATAATAAATGAATTTTATTTTTGATTCGGCGAGAATAAAAAAGTAAATAAATAAATAAAAGAAAGAGATGGGTCGCTTAAAAGATCAATTGACGCGGTTGAGCAATTGCGTAAAACGGTCGTCTGGGGCCACGCCAATCGGCTGGGGCCCCGTTCGTTCGGTCGGCAATTATAACTCGATTACGCGTCTCCGTATGCAGTTGACCGGCTCAATAGAACGGTAAACGAGATACGCAGCAGACGGCGACCATCATTCGTCGAATACTAAGCACCGTTACGTCACTAATGAAATTGTTTTTCAGCGGCGGCTCACCTCTGATGCTCGGGTGCTTCCTCCCCGTTCGTTGTAAACGTGGTGCTGGACGACCAGTTGGCAATCTCTTCGGAAATGAAAACATCGCAAACGATGATAATATCAATAAACCAGATATTACCACCAAACCTTTAAATCAAAAATTTTGTCAAAAATAATTTACAAAGTTTATATTTCATTTACCTAACCACCAAGCTCCAACCCATCTTGGATCGTTAGTTTCAATTTTTGGATCGACGGAAAGATCTGCGTAAACACTGGTACATAAAGATCCAACGATAAATCCTAAAGCAGGTCCTAATATTCTAACACCAATAGTGATGGCAAAATATAATGGTGATTCTCGACTGGCAACGTTATCGTCCATATATGGTATACCTAAAGTATAAACGGCGGTTTGTCCCATACCAACACCGAGTAAACTAATAAAGAATATGGCGAGGACGATTTTCGTGACTGTGGGTTCTATTCGTGGCTCTAAAACTCGTATATCGTTAAAGCCTTGGTGGAAATCGTACCTGCCGCTGGTCCCATTGAAAAAAGGGTCGTCATAAATGCTTTTATTGAAGGCGTTGCACGTGTCCGGTTCGTTAGGCATTCCCGTGAGATCGTTAGAGTCCATGATCTGCTTTCCGTAGATGAAATGAGGTAGAGAACAAGTGAAAGATGATATGGCGAAGAGTACCATTCCCCAAGCGATCCATTTCGGCCTATGACCTTGCCCACCGTAATAAGTCAATAACAAAGACGAACCGATTTGACCAATTTCAGTGGCGCTCATAATGATGCCCGTAATTTTCGATTGAATTTGAAAGAGTTTTTCGATAGTGGTAATCGCGCTTACGAAGTACGTATGATACATCCCTTGTAGTACCCAAGCCAAACAAAACACAGTAAGAAACATCTGTTTCGAGGCAAACTTTTGAAGCCACGAAGGCGCGCACGGTCCCAAACCGCACTCGGTATCGCTACTATCATCGCAGGTGTCACTATCGGTCGCTACGGTAAAACATTGAGACTTTACGCTTCCCGTTTGATCGGTTAGGGCTGTTTGCTCTTCTTCCGTCATCTCCATCGTAACCGCGTTGCCGTTCGTCGACTTGTCGTTACTGTTCTTGTCCGCGTTACGCATCTTCCACATCTTGGTCAGCCCTTTTTTTTTGTTTCTATTGCACTTGCTTTTGTCACGCCCTCGTTCGAGATGATTTTCTCTTTTGCCTGCCCGTTTTTGACCTGAACGTTATTTCTGGGAACATTTACAAAAAAAAAACGAAAATGGTTAATGTGATTGTAAAATAAACAATATTTTTACTCCAATATATTTAATAAACTTATTAAGTCTACCGGTTTCGGCCTAGACCATCGTCAGGAGTCTCATTGCATAAAATTGAGGTTAGGACTCCTGATTATCTAGGCCGAAACCGGTCCATTAAATGAAATGGTTAAGTTTCAACTTACACAAATATATAAAAAGAATTTTTAAATCGATTATTTTTTTGTCGTCTTAAGGTTAACAAAAAATTCATTTAGGTCATCAGTAGATTGGATAAATTTGAATAAATGTTGTAAAAGAATTTCGTATATCTAAAAATAGTAAATGAATACAAAAGTGAACTTTCTCCGTGATATAAACGAGATAATGTTGTTTAATTGGTGGAAGATTCGGTTGATTTTTTGAACTTGCTACGAATAATTTCCTACTAAGAATAGAGCCGGATTGTTAAAGTGATTTTTCAATTAAATTTGGTCTTACGAAAGAGTTTAATGAAAAAATGAGTGGGTTAAAGTGTCTTGTTCGGAGGAGGAGGGGGGCCCCTCCGAGACTGTGGGGTAAATATTTGCGCATAAAAGGAGAAAGCAGGACGGTATTTTCGCGTTCGCGTTATCTGTTGTTTATAGTCTGATAAAAAAAATAAATTCCATTATCTTTATTCCGGCCGGCTGGAGTCGTTCGCGGGAGAAAAAAGAAAATAAAAAAAGGGTGACCAAATAGCAGTAATTATTGAGGCCGACCTATATTTAGAGCGTTTCTCCCGTTACGTAGTAAACAGAATCGTATTATCCGGTACCAGTCAAAACAAGTGTAATCTCGAAGCGGCAAATATTTGCTAGAGATAAAAAAAGGAGGGCGTCCGAATGAGGAGAAAGGAGGATTTTTCGTGAAAGAGAGAAAGGCGTCGTTCGGAAATTGTCTCACCTCCAAAGTTAACTTCCCAAATCCGAATTCCTTTCTTCGAATTCAACTTTGAGGAGTACTAATTAAAAAATTACAAATCGAGATACACTCAGTTTTAACAGCTTCGTTCTTAGCATTGCCCCGCCAAAATTACATCCGCAACCAGTGAATTAAAATCGAGAGATGAATTATTCAGAGGACCTCCTCTTTAATATGTATCGCGCGCGGATTACCATATAGGAAACTGATGGTCCCCGATTTTTATAAATATTTAAGCACGTCGCCGGATCGCCCCCACCCGTTCCGAACGACGCCCGGAGAGATGAGTTAAAAAGTCGGCAACTTTCTACAAATGACGAGGGGAAATCTACCCGATAAATATTAAAGTGACTCGGGCGATTTGCATGCGCGAAATTTCGATCCAAAAATAACAAAAAATATTCCGTATTCCAATCGCGATCGTGAACTACTTGTTCATCCTCCTTCACGTCCCAATCGCACACCTTCCTCATTTCCTATCGATCATTATTCACTAAGAATTCGCAATAATTTCACTTTTTAAACGCCTTTAAAATATTTATCTTATTAAATTGTGTCAATGCGAATTTAATTACAACACGTAGTGCAAGGAAAAAGAATATTTTACTACGTATTAAGGAAGTTAACTATTAAATAAAAGAATATTTTGAGATGATTGGAAATTGTGAAACATTGCGATATTCGTTTCACTTCCGCAAATTGGTTCTAATTGGTTCTTATAAGAATGCAAAATCAATTTTTATTTAAACAAATATCAAAGATATATAGAGTTCGAAAAGTATAGGAATTAATTCGTTGGGGAATGATAAAAATGATGTCGTCGTAATAAAACGATGGATGAATATGGACGGGCGTCTTTGTGAGGTAATAGCGGATACCTTTCGATCGCTAACACGGGGATTGTCTACGGAGCCGCGAGAAATAAATTTCACTTTTCACGGGAAATCGCCTGTTGAAAGTGGACGATGCCGTGTTTTCTAAAAGGAGGCATCGCGAAATTAGATTAGGTTATCGGTGGGTTAGATTATTTCCAATTGGGATAGGTTCGGAACGATTTTATCGAAATTTATTCCACAAATTAAAAAATGCGTTACTGATTTCGAATAAATCGGGCAATCATCAGGTGAAAAATTTTGAATTATAATTTAATATGTGACAGTTGAAATTGTTGGTCCCGAAAATAAGCGTGCGTACATATTCGCGTATATATAACAGTGTTTGACCTAGAAACGGTACAATCAACTTGCCGCGTCGATCGCTATAAATGGAAAAAAAACTTTATCTCGGGTGCAGCCTATTTCGAAGATCGTAGATAAGGGGGGAAATAATCAAATAAGATAGGCGAAGGAGACGGTTGGGAATTTGGGTCGAGTCGAAAAAAAGTTATGCAAGTTTTTTTCTCCTTTCTCCCGGTCGGTTTTCACTTAACCTAAAAAAAATCCCACGCCGGGCCGCGGAAAAAAAGCTAATCGAGCCGAAGGTGAACCGGTCGTTTTTTCTTCGCGTTTCAAAATTTCCGGCCGAGCGCGACGGCGAAAATAATATTCGGGCTATTTCGATCGCCGTCGAGAAGAAAAAAAAACGAAAGTAAATAAACACGACGACGACCACGATGACCGGGACCGGGATTTAGCGGATTATATTAGAATACCTACGCTGTTCATAATGAATGGCGTCTCGTTTGTTGACATTGGAGCACAGCGGGCACGAGCACAAGGGGAAAAATGGGGGGCGAGAAAAAAGGAAAAAAAACCGCGAGGCCGGTTGCCGAAAAAAGCGTGTGGATCTCCGGGCGTCCGGCGCGCGACTACGGCCACCAGTACGGGCACGGACTCCAGCTCGGACTCGCTCTCGGGCCGAACGGGAATTCTTCGTAAATGAAAGTGAGGAGTGTAAGCGAGAACGATCTAAAACAATGCGTAGGACAAGCGGGGATAGAGATATACCGGTCCGGACGCGGCACCGAAATAAATATAACTTAGAAGTCCACGGGGACGAACAGCGGTGGAACCACTCTCGCTGCTGCTCGCTGCTGCCAGGCGTCGTTGCTCGTGGCGCCACGCGATTACGCGGCAGACGTCGAACTAAAGGTGGTGGCGGAGGCAGAAGGAGGCGCAGGAGGAGGAGGAGGTCGTATCGGTCGTATCCACGCAGTATCGGCCTCCTATCTACATCCGCACGGCAGCCCATCGATCGTTTCTCGTCAATTACATAACCTTTCACAACCATCATCTTCAAGATCATCATACTCAACATTTTCAGACATTTCAATAATTATTAATCATCTAATTTTATGACAAAATGAATTTGTGTCTTGGATCACACAAAATGTGATCCAAATGACAAATTTCCCTTGTCATAACTCCAAAAAGCTTTTCTAAGCTCAACCAAGTCAGCCAATGGACAACAGTAGTACAATGTAACCTGTACTAGCTAATCACTCAAATGAAACGATTAAATGAAGAATATAGCCACAGAAAGAAACATCCATTTTTAACATTAATGAGAAACCTTAAAGATCTGTTATATCAATTAAATTTCGGTAAACAACAGCTTGTTGCTAGCAGTAGAAATCAGAGAGGTGTTCTTGATATTTTAGGATCAATCATCAGAAAATCTGGATGCCCAAGATGCTCTAAAATATGATAATTTAATACCCGAACTGGGATCAAATCAGCAGAACTTAGCCGCATTGATGAAATAGCAAATGCATCTATCACATTAAAGTTGTTCAGAAAAACCAACACGAAGCAGCCCAGCGTATTTATACAATCATTCAACATTTAAAAGACCAAGGAAACAAACAAGCATACTTTAATTTATTGATGCGTGCAAAACTTCACTACAGGTGGCTATAAATTTCGCCTTAATAATAGAAGATCGGCTGGCAATAGCAAGAACATTTCCCAAGTTACAAATTTACCACCCGACTGTATAACGCGATGCGCTACAATACCGGAGTTATTCTGATCATATGCATTAGGTCTGCGTGGAAATGTGACAGTTTTGCAACACAGTGTATGGGGCCGGCTTAGATTCTATCACAATGTTATATTTACCATTAGGAAAGAAAACTTTGTGTTCAATGCTTTAATAACGCCTTTAAAAACATTGCTAAACTAAGCCTTCCTGATCAACCAATAGTAGCCGGTATTAGATCATTAGGCAGGAAAGCAGAATAATATTATTCACCTCAGAAAATTAAGACCTATATAGTAACCGGCGGAATCCTGAAAGAACTTTCGATAAAAGTACCACAACTGTGAAACATGGCTGAAGTGGAAGTCACCTTACGATACAACAGTGTTATATAAACCTGAAATAAGTCATAATATTGTGGCGCGTCATCTTTATCAAATGGAGTTGTAGATCTTTTGACTAATTAAACCGAGATCGCTTGTGAGCGAGGTTCAACCTGAAGTTGGCCTTAATATTATGTAATATTCCAAACATATTAGATCAAAAGGATCTAATGAAACAACATCTTGTGTTTGTAAAATCAACTTTTTGCCTTATATTCTCAAGTTTATCTATTTTGAGATACATTAAGGGTGAAAATCGATAGAAATGTGATATTGTGCAAGAGAACTGGCCCACCTCGCGAACCTATCGATAGGTCTAAGTTGTTCGGCAAACACGTACTTTTCAGCGCCCGTGAGAGATTCCTACGGCTTCTCAACGATCGCGACCCGCTTCCGTCGCTAATGTCTTGGGTACACAGACGAATCCGATTCATAATTTCCCAACAACGTGCCGCCGTTCCCACGTCGTTCTTTGCGGTTCTCATTTTAGCCTCAGCTTCAAATCCATTTTCAAATTCATTTTCGCGCCCTAAATTAAGCTTATTCGTTTCATTACCAAAGAAAAGCCCAACCCAGCGATTTGTTAAGTAATATACGAGGTGTTGACAACGAAAATATCAAAAAAAAAAGGTATTTGTTATGATGTGAATTTCTCGTATAGTTTTTCAAACGGAACGCAGCTCGTAACCACTTTGACTTTCTTCTAATAGCCACTCTCACTTGCTAGACTTTAATTGCCTCGGCAATTGTGCGCTCCACTTCTCGACGCTTCTCGTCGGAGCGATCATTAACGCGTTTAAAACGAGCTCAAGGAATCAAGCGAAATGAAGATTCATTGAAACCTACGATTCGAATCTACGCCGATTTATTTATTTTCTTCCTTTTTAAATTTCGTTCCTTCTCTTTTTTTAGCCTCATATCAATCGGTTAATTTAAAATTCAAATCGCAACCTATCGCGGTTTCGAGATTTGTTTTCGTCTCGAGACGGACCGCGTTATACGAAGAGTATTGTTTCCTTGCTTTGAAAAAAATTTCGACGAAAACACGCCGGAAATAATAAAGTAACCGACGCCGTATTTATATTTTAAACACGTCCCGTTAGGTTTGGATGTCGTGTAAAGGAGTGTTTATAAACGAACAAACCGACTTTTTAACATTACAATTTCGAATACGTTCTCTAACATTCAAAATTGGCGCGAATTTTAATGAACCACCGCGCATGCGTCTAAAACTAAACAAAAACGTATCAAAACAGTTTTAGCGCTAAAATGATCATATTCCCCACATATTTTGAGACCTCAGCATCGAAACGCGGAATATGACGAAACGATCGTGCCCCTTCGAAGATGATTATATACCTCAAACTAAAATATACCTAACTACGAAGGGGTACGAAAAAAGTAATGTTAAAGCGATGGAAAATGTTTGGAGTAAGTTTTTTTTGAGGTTATGTTAGTTTTTTTAAATATGAATTTTTATTTAGACAAAACACGTGATTTGCTGTTTGAGGGGGCTAAAAGAGAGAAAAATAAGGATGATAAGGAGGAGGAGGTTTCTTATGAAGAACAATGTGATTATTGCCTTAAAAAATTCGATTTGTTGAATGATTGCAGGTTATGTCATCATTGCTATTGTTCAAGTTGTTCTTTGCCTATGTAAGTTTATTTGAATTTATTATATATATAAATATATCCCACGTAGCTGGTTCGTTAGAACGAAGTTAGGATCCACTATTAGTAAATTTTTGAAATTTTGGTAGTTTTTATTACACCTTTACGCAAAAAAATATGGCGCCCCAAGTGTCATGAATAATATTTAAGGCGGCCGACGTCTTCGAAGTCGGCCGAGATTATTACAATAAGAAATTATGGTACTCCACAACCGCCTCAAGTATTGTTCGTAATATAAGAAATAAACTCGGCCGACTTCGAAGATGTCGGCCGTCACAAATATCATGAACAATACTTCGGGTGGATATAATTTATTGAAGAAATTCCATGAACTTCCAAGAAAAAGTTAAGGAATTCGCGAAACCGCCATCAACGCGACGGACCATTACGTGCATCAGAGACAAATTTGGGAAACCCACATCTCCAAAGATAGCGTCTATCGCATCATGGAGCGTCTGCTTTTGAAATACTACATTCCAACTGTAATCCATACTCTCAATCCTGACCGGCAAAATCCGATCCTGGCAAAATGTGCGGAAGATGCAGGGTTTCCACTGCATCTATTTCCATTAATCGCCATAATTACACGTACTAAATCCTCATGTAACACTTCAACATTCGCATTGGGCATCATAGGACCCTTTTTTTTAACGGAACTGTCACTGGTGAGAGATACCTCAATTTGCTTCAGGAGTTAGTCGGTCCACAAATTTCAGAGATGTTTGGTAACGACGCGAGATTTACTTTCAGCAAGATGGACCCCCACTACCAACGCGATGTACGAGCTCAGGCTTTCCAGACACATAGATTGAATGACCTCACGCCCATGGACTTTTGAACATTTGCGAACATGATTCTTCAATTATATTTGTCTTCTGTATTCGAAGCCATTCCATTTCACTCTATGGTCATAAATAATATTTTTCTCATCATTCGAAGTGTGACTACATTTTTTTTGATACATTCTGTATGTGGGGTGCCATAAATAATTTCTTATTTTAATAATCAATTTCAAAACTGTACGAATAGTGGAACCTAAAAGTTACGTGGGATACTTGTGTACATATATTTGATGATTTATTCTCTATTTATTCATTTTAGCTATGATGATGAAGTTACCGAGTTTATATGCTTATCTTGTGCTTAGTTTCTAATTCGTATTTAAGTAACAGTTTATTATTAGTGTTAATTAATTTTATTTGATTCGTAATTCTTGATTCAAGTTTCACTTTGTATTAATATTTAAGGAGTTAGTTGGAGGAAAAATAAAGATCTATTTTTTAAATATTCTCATTCATCCTTTAAAAATAATATCTAAATCCATTTTGTATGTATGGCAATAATTTTACAATAATATTACAAGTAATTTACATTTTTATTAGTTTAAGTATTATGTTGTTTTTTATTTTTATGGCTATGATTTCTGCAGACACAAAATTTGGAGGCGCATTTTCTTTCGGCTTTCTTTTAACACTTCCTTAATGATCCTTAAAAAATGTTATATAATATTAATTTGAACTTAATTAGGATTTAAATCTTACTCTGATTGTTGTTCGTTTAAAGTTGGAATTAATTTGATGGCTTCTTTAAAAAAATTTTTAGCTCTCTCGGTAGAATAAGCTTCAAAAAATTCTTGTAAAGCTCCAATATCAATTAAAGCCTGTTGGGCTCCTGCTAAACTAAATTTTTGAACACAACTCATTAACCTATAAAGCTCTTCGGCTATTGTTTGAACGACTTGTGGAAGAATACTATCGACTAATTTGGATGAAACGCTATTTACTTCAAAGTGTACATGAATTAAATTGTTGATACATTCTTTAGCGTATGGTCGTATATCAACCGGTGTAAAGTTTGTGTGCCAATCGAATCTGCCTAAATACATAGATGGTTCTATTGTGCCCACCAACGGATCGCTTTTCTGTTCTAAATAATTCTCTAAAATCGATGTTTCCAAAGATTTAAAATTTTCTTCCGTCTTTTTAATCATTTGATGCGGTATTTGGTAATTACTTTTTGTAAATAAGCGAACTATGTTCGTTAAAACTACGTTACTCGTATATTGACAATTCGCTAAGGTCATCAATAATCTTCGCTCCCTAATCGGAATATTACTTTTACCACGCGATTTATATACAACCGTAGTTGGCGTTCCAATTAATTGTGAAACAATCGCCGTTTGATTTTCATCGTCGTCTTCATCATTTTCAGGACTCTTCAAAACCAAATTTGTTAAAACATTATAAAAAGCCGTTAATAAATTATCTAATTGTTTTTCGTATTCTTTTCGAGCCGAAATATTATCAACCAAAAGTCCCTCTCTCGCTTCCGCTTCAAAAACAGGTTCGGAAATCGACTGAATTAACTGTTGAATTGCCTGTTCAAATTTCAATGGCAATTCAGTTATCCCACAGTGACTTTCCGATATCTCAACTTTCCACGTTTCTTGTTTATCATATTCTTTCACATTTTCGATCGTTTTCTTAAACACTATACTCATACAGTGAATTCGCAAATCTAATATAAACGTTAAAACTATATCTAATGCTTCGCTTGGCAAATCCAATTTAAATAATATCGAATAAGCCGATCTTACGTATTTTAAACATTCCGGTAGATAGATCGCCATCGTATCTATATCCGGAATCGACCATGTGCCGTAATTTGTTTTATCCGATGTTTTATCTAGTGTATGAGGTATTAAAGCCGCTCTAAGTCTTTTACAATAAGCTTCCATTATATTTAGTACTGTATGCTAAAAAGAAAAATCAATACAAATTACTTAATTTTTTTCTCAAAATTTTTTTATATAATATTTTTTAATGCTATACAAGTTTCGAAAGAAGGCATCTTCAGCTTCAATTTGAGACATAAATCAATTCTATATTTTCATAAATAAAAAAGTTATAATTTTTTGAAAATGAACTGTTTTTTGCTCGCTTTTAGGTTGTCTAATAAAAGTTAATAATTTTTTTCTCAACTTTTTTTATATAACATTTTTAAACACTATACAGGTTTCGAAAGAAGGCATCTTCAGCTTCAATTTGAGACATAAATCGATTCTATATTTTTAAAAATAAAGAAGTTATGATTTTTTGAAAATTAACTATTTTTCGCTCGGTTTTAGGTTATTTAATAAGTTATTAATTCTCAAAATTTTTTTATATAAAATTTTTTGATACTATACAAGTTTCGAAAGAAGACATCTTCAGCTTTAATTTGAGATATAAATCGATTCTATATTCTCATAAATAAAGAAGTTATGATTTTTTGAAAATGAACTATTTTTTCCTGGCTTTTAGGTTGTCTAATAAAAGTTAATAATTTTTTTCATATAAAATTTTTAAACACTATACAGGTTTCGAACGAAGGCATCTTCAGCTTCAATTTGAGACATAAATCGATTCTATATTTTCAAAAATAAAGAAGTTATGATTTTTTGAAAATTATCTAATAAGTTATTAATTTATATAAATTTTTAAACACTATACAGGTGTGGAAACAAGACATCTTCAGCTTCAATTTGAGCTCGAAATCGCTTTCATAAATTTTTAATAGGTGGTCTAATTTATGAAGAACAAATTTTATTATTTCACTTTGAAAAGGTTATACTTACCTTAAAAGCTGTTTTATGCCCTGGTTCAACTTTAACGTGTAGTTCGCCTATAAAATAAGCTTGGCCGAGTTTCCAAATGTCTGGAAAAAGTTCGGAAAGTAACGAAGATAATTCCTCGACATAAAAAATGTTTTGTGGGCAAGCGTTAGCGTCTTGAGACGCGTTGTATTTGGAATATTTAGCAGCGTGGGGGCTTTTCGATTTGCGCATATCGTCCGCGATGATAGCTTTGTGCTCTTTGTAGCATTCCTCCATGCGATTTACGAGGTACTTTGATCGAAATAAAATCGCGTCCCAAGCCGGCTCAAAATTGCTGTCCAAATTTACTAAGTACCGAATAAGTTTTTTTTGTTCCTCCACAGTAATCGGCATTGTAACTAATTTTTGGTGAAGTTTTTCTTTGATTTCAGTTATTTTGTCTTCGATTAAATGTAAAACTGTTTGAAATATCTTTAATAATAATATAATAATTAAAAAAACGGAGGTTGTAATTAAAAAGATGATTTTCTTACCGGTATATCTCGCTTTAAAAATAAATTTTTCACTCTCATATAATCGTTTATAATGATATCGTAATCCCCTTTTTTGACGTTTCTGTTGATCGAACACGGGAGGGAAAATAAGAATTTAAAGCGTGTTAAGACATTAAGCGCGTTTCTTGTACTTTCGACCCTTTCGCCTCTTGTATAAAGATCTGTGTATAATTTCCCTGCTTCTCTTTGGGATTCTCTTATAGCTTTTTCAAATTTTAATGTGGGTTCAGGCGAATATTCTTTGACGTCTTTTTCGAATTTGTCTTTAAGCACCATTAATGTATCTATTTGATCAAGTACAGCGGAAATGTTTGTCTTTAAAAATGATAATCTCCCTTCTTTTTGGCCATCCACTTTGCGTCTTAAATGCAACAACCCAGCTTGTAGGTCGTTAAAATTGGTTTTGTGATGGTTTTCGTATAAAAATCGACATGGTGAGAAATTTTCTGAGGTTAAATCACCAGAACTTCCTGGGAATTTATCGTTAAGGTCATCTTCAGGGATTTTTTTCTCGTTGCTTTCATCGGATAACCCTAATGGGTCATCTATTTGGATACTACTTGCTGATAAGGAATGACGAAATGTGTGAAAAGGTTTTTCTTCCACCCAAACGGCGCTTTCTTTCATGGGGCCAATATGTTCGTAATAACCTTTGAAATGGACATTGCAAGTACCTTTACCTCCTAATTTTGTGGTTACAATGATATCTCCAAAACCTTTCCCTGGACCAGAAATGGCTATTATTTTGCTAGGGGCTTTCCATTCGGCAGATAATAAACAATCATGCCCGCAAATTGTTAATCCTTCAAAATTATTAAATTTAGTTAATTTGTAACTGTTAATAAAAAAGTGTCTTACCAATTAAATCGGTGGGTCTTTGACCGAAATTTTCACCTCGGATTGTAACGCGTGTTCCAGGAGGCCCCTCGTTGGGGGATAAACCCGTAACAATCGGTGGTAGAACCATTTTCGCATAAAGATAAAACTTTTAGCAGGAACTGTTGAGGTTATGTTTTCATTGTGGGCGTAAACGTTACATTTCTAACTGACGTTGATTCATATCATCTTGCAGGCTTTATTTCCGCTTTATATCCCTCATTTATACCTGAATAATCATACAAAAATACACCGATTTTAAGATATTATTGTAAATTTTGACAACTGTACGAGTTAAATGATATACTCAATAGATGGCGCCATAACGCGTGAAGATAGCGGGAAATTTAAATTGAATAAACGATTTTTGTTTCTAAAGATTTATTGTACTCTGTTTTGTTACAGGTTGTATAATCTGCGCATCTAAAAATGTGGGTAAGTTGTAACATCTTTATCATAAATATACACATAAAGTCTATCTATTATAATCCTTTTTATCAAATAATTTCTGTACACTAAGTAAAATACATCACAAATAATGTAGGCATGTAAAAAATGCCTAAGAAACGTCTCAACATTTTGATAAAATCAAGGCAGCCGCATATATATGTCATACATAAAAGCTTTTTACGTATACAGTGTGTTTCATTTTAACTATCATGGAAGATATCTTGATTATTGTGGGTAATATCTATGATCTGCCATAACCAAAAAAAAAATTGAGCATCAAATGTGTTTTAGTCTTAACCTGGCCGCTCTAAGTATTGTTCATGATACTTGGGGGCGGCCGACATCTTCGAAGTCGACCGAGATTACTTCTATCACGAACCTAAGTTGGGGCGGCCGACGTCTTCGAAGTCGGCCGAGATTACTTCTTCCATAAAGTTATTAATGGTATCACTTGGTATTCGGAGATCACTTCGGGAAGTCGGCCGCCCCAAGTTATGTCCGTGTTATAAGAAATAATCTCGGCCGACTTCGAAGACGTCGGCCGCCCCAAGTATCATGAAGAATACTCTCAATGCTCTAAGCACTGTTCATGATACTTGGGGGCGGCCGACGTCTTCGAAGTCGGCCGAGGTTACTTTTTATATCACGAACCTAAGTTGGGGCGGCCGATGTCTTCGAAGTCGGCCGAGATTACTTCTTCCATAAAGTTGTTATTGGTATCACTTGGGATTCGGACATCACTTCGAGAAGTCAACCGCCCCAAGGTATGTCATATGTAAGTTAAGTATGGCAACTTAACTTGGGGCGGCGAGATTATTTCTTCTTATTAGACTTAGTTTCACGCTCCAAATCCCGAGTGATACCATTATTTTCATGTATGTAATTTTTGCTTTTAGATGCATAATAATATTTGATATAACACATTTGATGCTCACTTGCCTTTTTGAATATGTCAGTAATCGAGATATCTATTATGACAACTAAAATCAAACACTGTATGTTTAGAAAAAACGTCGTTATTCCGAAATGAAATAAAAACGTTTTCTCACAGTAAATGTTTGAATTTTTATTTATCGAAGTCTATATTTTCTATGTTTCTACATTTAAACGGTCGTCACAGAGAGTAACCCAATCATTTTACTATTTTGATTTGGAACGGATTTTGGGCCATGTAATAATACGTCTTGAACCGTCGAAAAGTTATCGTACGTATGCACTTTTTTCGCCTTATATTTTTTCGCGGTGTTATCAATATTATTAGTCGTCTTTTTCGAAACGAGTTTATCCTTTTGGTGTTGCGTTTCCACATTTTCATCCAAATGCCTAGCTGCCTGCAATATTTCTTGCCTTTGTTTCCTTTCTTTCGATTTTTCCACATGTTTCTTTCTTTCTTCTTTCGTCCAGTATCTTCCAATCTGAAATTTACTAAAACTAGAATTGTTTTTTTAGCGCATTAAATATTAAAATTACTTTTAATTCCGATAATGTATCATCTTCCGTTGTTAACCCACAACGTTCCTCGGTTATTTTCATTGCTCTATCGCGTAATATTCGATTACGAACCGGTCTTCTTGCGATATATCTAGTTCCATCCGGTCTTCTTTTTACTTTCCATTCCATTTTTGTATGCCCCTCCTAAAATAAGATTTTTTTTTATGTTTGATGATTATTAATTAATTGATAACAACTTGTAAGTTGACGACAAGACGAACACAGCACACAATAATGGATATTTTACAGCATATTTTTTAACACATCTTGCGCGGGAAACAACGAAAGTCGTTTTGCGCGAATTTCATATGTTGAGCGGGAAGCGACTAAACTCGTTTTGCATGGTATTGATGCCCAATGCACGGTAAGACTTTGACGGCACAAGATGTGTTAATTTGTAACATATTTATTTAATTTAATATTTTAATATTCAAATGTGTTATTTTTATAAATTTCAACTTCATTTACGACATTTTGGCTGATGATGACCGTTATGTGTCGAAACCGGTTCCAATAAATATTTAAAATATAAGCAAGTAAGAAGTTTTTTTATATTTTAATATATATATATTTTCCGATATTAATTAATTAATTATAATTACTTACATCACTATTTTGGAATTGATTGAAGTTATTGGAAGTTTGACATTCAGCACCAGCACTTTGATGTCCAAGTGTTTGCCTAAAAAGCTGTTGCTGTAAAAGCATGGTTTGTTGTAAATTTGCAACGTTAGTGTACATCGTATCAGAGAGGATGTTGGCTATTGTTGGTTTTAGCGTTGGTGAACTCTTTGTTTGTTTCGGTTTTTTCTGTTTCGATTGGTTTTTTGTATCACAATTTGATTGTTTTGGTTCCTCCTCTGGTTTATTGGGGCATAAAACTAGCGTTGATCTAAAAATAAGTAATAAAAAATTGTTGAAGTGGTTTTTAAAATTTCTTAAGTCATACTTATAAATGTTCTTCTGTTTAGAGTCGGCATTGCAGGCCAATTCAAAAGTCAAGTGGTTAGAATTGCTCGATCCCCCGGTATTATAAGCACTCGAACTATTTTCGTGCTCTTCCCCGCTGCTATTACTCTTTAAAGACTTCGATTTCACTTTTCCTTTTCTCGAATCTTTCATGTCTTTTATTTCGGGACTAAACGAGTTTTCTTGGGTGATTAACCATTGTTCAACTGGATTTTCCTCGTCGTAAGGGCAACTATATAGAGGTTCTAATATGTCAAAATCGGAAGATTCGGGGATGGTTTCGTAAATGTGCTCGGTATCCGATTCGGGGGGGACGTGTTTTCTTCTATCCGTTTTTACTAGTTGGATGCTTTGCATCCTATCGTTTAACTCCGAAATTTCATGGTTGATCGAATCCAATTTTGATCGCACTAGTGAATTGGTTAAAGTGAATTTATCAGCGCTAAAATGAGGTGGAACCCTTGGAGATGGCTCGTTTTTTGACGGCGATTGCTGATTTTCAGCTTGCCGTTGAATTATTTGCTCAATCACTGTATTTTGATAAGCCGCCGTTCTCCCGGAAATGCATTCCAAGTCTTCTGGCTCCATATAATCGTCGTACTAAAATCCGATTAATTTGTTGTATCATTAAAAATTTAAGCGTTGATTATTTTTACCTTATTATAGCACCTACTAATGAGTAAGGTGACTGCTTTTCTATTTTCAGCGAAAAGGCTTTCAGTTTCTTCTCGGTTAGCAACATCTTTACCGTTTACCTAAAAATAACCATCTGGGTATTTATTAGGTTTGTTGGAAGGATTTAAATTAGTGATGTTATATATTATTTATGTCACTAATTTAAATGGAAGAATTTACAAACCTGTAGGATTTGGTCACCTTGTCGAAGTCTACCATCAAGATCAGCAACACTCTGGGGCACGATGTCACGGATATAAACTTCCGTGCAGGTATCGACGTCAGAGCCAGAGCTATAACAAACCGTGAGACCGAGTTTCTCCTCGCTGCTGCACTTCCTAAGCGTAACCTCCTCAAGATCTATTTCCGGACAGTCTAAGATGTTTTCGTCAGGCCAGTTGGCCGCCGAAATGTCTGTCTGGACGGCGGTGGAAGTAAAATTTGACTGGGGTATAACCACGTCGCTGGCAGCACCGTCTTCCGGAACTGTTCGTCGCTTGATCTCGACGACAATAGGCTCCTGGGCGGCCAAAAATGCCCTAACCGCGTCCTGGTGAGGAAAACCGCTCACGTCCGTTCCGTTTATCTGCGAGAAAACGGCACAGAGAAACCGTGAATAAGGCAAGGAAAATTAAGTTGTAATGAAGCCCTCGAGGCGAGCCTCGAGAACTTTTAAATAATCCGGGAGTTTTTTAATTACGAGAATAATTGGGGGTGGGGGTTAGAGAATTTGCATAAGGGGCCTTTTGTCTGTCTGAGTGCTGCCAGTTTTCCAATAGAACCGCGAAAATCGTTCCGCTATTATTCTTTCACGTCAATCCCAATCGACTCGGAACTTTTAAAATGATTCAAACTCTTTTATAAAGTACCAAAAAAGTTCTTTTTTATGAAAAATGTATAAGGCACATTTTTATTCTAGTTATTATTTTTTTTTTGTTTATGCTGATGTGAGATTAACGTTGTCGTTCAGCTGTACCTCTTGTTCTCGCGATGCGTTCGTTACTTCATCTGGAAAAAGGGGAGACAGATATTTTCGCTAAAATACTCCTGCCACCTAAGTAATTGCTCTTCTATGCTTTCTATAGAGATGCAATCTTTTGGATTTATGATGAAACAATCTTTTGTACAACTTTTCTTGATGAATTATTTTCATATATATTCTAAATAAATTTTAGTCAAAAATTTTTTTTGAAACCTATAATAATTGAGTTAACAATTTCAGGACGTTTTTTAATCACCAATTGCTAGCAGAAGTCTAGGTACTGCTGGCACAAAGCAGGATAGTATTAATTATGGGTAACAGAAGACTAGAAACTGCTAAATTTGCTAATAGAACCCTAGATTTTATTTCCAGATGACCAACCGCTCTCAGAAGACCAAATATTGTTGGCAAAAGACTGGATACTGCTAATAGATGATTAGATTCTGCTAATGGAAGACTAGAAATTGCTGATAGAATACTAAATTTGTTCTTAAAAGACTTCTTACTGGTTATGTTAGTAGAAGACTAGATACTGCTCACAGAATACAATAAATTGCTGGCAGAAGATTAGATACCATTAATGGCAAATAGAAGTCTAGAAAAAAATTCTTTTGGAAACAATAAAAAAAAAATAATTAAAACCAATGCAGAGTTTTGTATTGGGTTAACCTAATTTGGAGGATAATTGCAACAATTTCAGTACGACAGACTCCGTTTTTTAATCACCGCCCCTGTTCGGCACTCAATTAAGCGTATTTTGCAGATAGGCAACGCCGTACGCAATTCCGCGCGTTTTTAATTGTTTCCATCGGAGGGTCCTCTTTGTTTAAGGCGCGCTTTGACTGCTTTTGAATCGTGCACCGGCAGTTTTTAATTGGGTTTAAACCCGGCTTGTTTCAGTCCCGTTTCAATCGAATATTCCTTTGCCTGATTGTGTAAATCGTAATTGGAGATATAGAAACGTTTGAATTGGACGCGTAGAGCCGCAATTGTGCCGCGAATTTAAACATCGCCACTTCGTATACTGTTCCGGGTTTTATGGGTTAAATGTTAATTGGATGGGATTTTGCTTTTTTTATTATTTTAAATTAAATTAGTAAAACGCGACTTACAAATCGCACCGATTTGGCAACCTGGGGCGGCAGCAAAAGCCGCTAGGGGTCTTGACATTACATATTCCCGGCGTGTATCCTACTTCACTCGAAAAGTATTTTCGTGTTGCTTTCAACCCACTCTCAACGTGCTCAACAAAATCCCTTTTCCCAGGACGTAAAGTCGCGAAATCCATTATACATTACTTCTGTATGAGAACCCGCAATGAACATACAAAGTAATGACCAACAATATTAAGTAATTTTATTTTAATAAAACAAAAATTTAGTGAACCGCATCCACTATAATTGTCTTTGGCGTAGTCGGAATTACTTCCGATTGAGCAGTTTTATTTTGCCGCTTCGTTGAGCAGCACAGATACGGTGAATTTGATGTCCATTAATCTTGGAAAAATACTGTGTATTGTGAAAAGGGGAATGCCCCCTCTTAAATGGACCGATTTATTTACTCTATTTTTCACACGATTATGAACCGGTTGTCCATAAAGTATCTATGAGTTATTACCTTATCAACAGATAGTTTTCTTTATGGAAAATTTAAGCTTGTATAAATCAATTAAATAGAAACTAGAAAGTTTCGGATTTAACCGTGCATCTTCAGATGTTTTTGCACGTTTCAAGAATTTTAAAATAAAACCATATGCTAACGCGAAGTAAGCTCATATAACGACAATCGATTGGGAATGCTGTAAATGGGGCACCGGAAATCCCGATACTAACCCTACACTAAGCTTAATAAAGATCGTTTTATATTGAATCGGTGAATAATTTTGTAATTTACATGTTTGAATTAAAATATTTCCGATAAACGGAAAATTTATGGTTGAAAAATCCACAGTAAAGCGGGATTACGAGTGCTCGTATCGTTCCTATCTCGATTTATTGTATGGCTGTATAGAACATAAAATAACGATTTCGGACTATGTGTATAATGATAAAAAACGAAAAAAGTGTTGAAAATAAAGTTTGCCACCGAAATAGAAGCAAAACCATCATGAAAAGTGCATGGACACGTGGGACAAAGTACTTTTAACAGTCGCCGCTGGCATCTGGTGTCCCCATCGTCAGACACAATAGCATTTGCTCTGGTACTGACAGTTCTCAGAAATGGTTCGGAGGAGGTCTAAACATTTTTTCTGTCTAAATTCAGTTTGTATCTCATAACATCGGCAAAATTCAATATTCAGGGAACGGATATCGTTTTCGCATCGTTGTTTCAAAGTTGTGGGTTGTTTGTTGTCTTTGCCGATGCCCTCGGAAAAGACAACAATATTGGGTCGAACGACGGCGTCGATAACCGGAGTGCGGTTGACCCCCGAGATGAAAACAAACGCACCGAGGAGAAGTGAGTTTTGGGCTTTGAGACAATGATAACGACGGTGTCGTTTAAGAGTTCTTAGGAAAGGTCGCAAGGTCATCAACAACGGGCGGCGTACAAGTCTCGTCTACGTATTGTTGCGTAGGAGTAATGGGCAATATTATTATTCCACTAGTTATTTTTTTTGCCTCGCTCGCGCGTTCGACGGCCGTGAGTCACGTTTGAGAAATCGTGAAAAATCCATAAGCAGAGACGGACAAAGGAGGTGTCGTATCCGTCGTCGAAGGGCCAACGTATTCGCAACTATTTTTCAATCGTCAAAGCGCCAAAGAGAACAAAGGAACGTTTGTCTTCGGCGACCGATTAATATCGCGACGGACGGCCATGTGGACATTGAGTCCGTTTTGTTTACGTTTTTTCTTGGGAATCACACACACAGCTGATACTTCTTACCTTCAATATCAAAAAATCCATTTATCTTAACGACCAAATTGAGACTCGTAGTTCTCGTTCGAGTCGATTGGAACTCGGGTTCTGAATGCCGTGCGAAACGTTCAAATCATCATGGAACGGATGTGGAAGAAGAAGCCAATATCGCAGAGGCAACACGCACCACGTACTGCTCGAAATCGACTGCTGCTCCGAAGCGAGCTCCGCTCGTGTCTGGCCGCCAGTCTTCACCCTCTCGTACTCTCACCCCCCCCGCAAAGGCTCCGTCATCAGCCAACATGCGTTCATTATCTTATATTGTTGACGGGCACGTTCGAGTCGGTCACGGTTTGTTGAATTTGTAATGCCGCCTCGACGCGGAAATCGCGAAACTGCCCTCGCGGCCTTCAATCGCTCCCTCTTCACAACAACACCCCTCGATTACCCCGACAACGCTCGCAGCCTTATTTTGGGGACACTTCACGAGATTTATGTCCGTCAAATTTACTTAATTTTACGTTAAATTTGCCTTGACGACTCTTGGTATCTTCCTTAACACCATCTGGATCTCTAAAAAGATCATCCTAAGAAAAAATATCATTTTTCATCATCTGGAATGATTTTACCTTCTTCGGTTATTTTATATAGAGTGGAACAAAAGTCTGGATTCAGATTCCAGACTCACCAATTTGGTTTGCAGTTCATTACTTTTTCTTGTTCATGTTGTTATTTTGACATTTCTGCAATAAAGAAAATTAGGTGTTTCCAGACTTTTATATCACATTGTACTTTCTTTAATAAGTTGTCATAATTATACAAGGTGTTTCATAATACATGCGCAGGACTTCAGGATGTGATAGCTTGTCCAAAAATTTGAAAAAAACAGAAAACAGTTGGTGAAGATTTTGAATTTGATTGACGCCACTTCAAAAAGTACAGTTTTGAGACGCCCATTTGAACCGTCAATGCTTTCTACACAAAAAAGGTACTGTAGGTCATGAGCTCTAAAGTTGACCGTTTTCCAGAAAAATTAACTTTTATGTTTTTCAACATGGTCAATTTTTTTGAATAAAAATTTTATTTTACAATTAAACAAAATTTATGTAAACGTTAGAACAAGTAACAAAAGCAAGCGTTAACTTCATAATTGCTATCTTTTAGCTATCTTTTCGCATTTCGCACATTTCAGCGTTTGTGTAAAAAATTGTATCATTTATTTTTAACAAGTAGGCTTTAAATTTTATAACAAAAGCTACCTCCTGTCAAAATAACAATTAGTTTGTACCTGCAAAAAGTAAACTTGTATTACAAAATTAAAAATGAATTACACAAACGCTGAAATGTGCGAAACCTTTCCGGAATGGCATGCGGTAATTCGGCGACTGTATCAAGAAAGGCATCCTGATCGCTCAGTACCACACCATAACTTGTTTCTACGCATTCACCAACGACTATGGGAAAATGGAAGTTAAATGGCGGCCTATGGAAGTTATAAATCCCCTAGTAGAAAAGGCTGTCCTCAACGAAATTGTTGAAAATCCGACCACAACTACCAGAAAAATTGCTCACAACTTAAACCTATCTCACTTGACGGTTTGGAAAGTTTTGAAAAGGCAATTTTTGTATCCCTATCATATCCAAAGAGTACAAGCTTTATTGCCTAGAGATTTTCCGCCAAGATTGGCTTCTTGTATATGGATGCAAGACAAAATAGTTCAAAGAGTCTCCCGAGTTTGGAGCCGAAGTTCTGTTTACTGATGAAGCATCTTTCTCGAAGGATGATATTTTCAATTTTCACAATAACCACATATGGGCAGAAGAAAATCCACATGAAATTGTAGAAGGCAACAATTTTCCGTAAATGTTTGGGCTGCCATCGTCGGTAATCATTTGATAGGCCCACATTTATAAACCGAACAGATTAAACGGTGATTATCGACAATTTCTAGAAGAAGTACTGCCGGAACTACTGGAAGATGTACCGCTTCAAGTAAGACAAAACATGTACTTTATGCATGATGGAGCTCCGGCCCACTTTAGTTTGGTTGCTCGCCAATATTTAGATCGTTGGATCGGTCGAGAAGGTCCGCACTCTTGGCCATCGCGATCTCCCAAACTTTCTTTTGGGGCCATCTAGTCTACGCTACTCCAGTTGAAAATTGCTATTCAAGTTGACCAATTAAGAGAGCGCGTTGTTGTATCTCAACCCAACCCAACCCTGTATCTCGAAAATGGTGCATTTTAATTTTTGGACAAACTATCACATTCTGAAGTCCTGCTCATATATTATGAAACACCCTGTATAGAGTGGAACAAAAGTCTGAAATATTTTAGGATATCCAAATTCCAGACTCAATTTTTCTGATCAATTTGGTCAGAATAATTTTGACATTTCTGCAATAAAAAAAATTAGGTGTTTCCAGACTTTTGTATCACTTTGTAGTTTTTTTAACAAGTTGTCATAATTATATATAAATGTTGCAGAAGAGAAATTGAACCCATTATGTGGTGATGAAAACCATCATAAATAATTCTCGCACCGGTGACCAGATGTCGCGGAGTGCCACAAAATTTTGGCAACTATATTTGGGAGGTATGGGGGATGAGAAGGAAGAAGCTGATCCGATTTCCGAAGAGGGGTGGAAGATCGATATAGGATATTCGGTAGCCGCGGATAAAAATGAACAAATCGCCCCTCACGAGAAACGATTGTCATTGCAGGAGATCATAGGATCGGGGGACGGCCAACAAGAGGGGTGCGGTTATAACGTCGACGACGGCCGCCCCCCTAATCCGTTCCGCGTCCTAATAAATTGCGAAATAATCTTTTTACGCGTCCTCTTTTAGGGGCATTTGCATTTTTAATTCGGCCGGTCGGCCTCAAGGGCAATTTGAATAATTCTGCAGCCCCCGCCTCGACCGCCGAAGTCGTCCACTACCGCTGTACCTGAGGCGCGTTTTATCGAAAAAAATAAGACGAAATCGAGCGTGGGACGTTTAAATCACCTCTCATTTGAAATTTAAATCACGTATCATTCGGCATGTAAAATATATATGCATCCGACAGGGTGAACGATCGCAACGACTCCGCAAAACCGATCATTTTTTAATTAACGCACCCTATTACGTATTAAGCGTTGCAATTTGTAAATTATACCGCGGTCCCGAACACGTGAATTATTTGTTGTCCGCCGTTATACGTCCAATTCTGATTTATTACCACCAACATTTCAATTATGATTAACGTCCTTGTTTAAGGACTGAAAAACAACAAAAAACAAATACCATTACAATTTATTTCATCTATACTCGATTTCATTTTTTTTTGTCCACTTAAAAGAGAGCTATGAAAACAGAATTTTATCGTGAAGAAAGGCCGAGCGGCTTTCCCCAAATATTTGTGCCACTGCTGCCGTCGCCGCCAGACGCCGTCGTATTTGTCCAGTGATAAACAAAGCGGCGGGACATAGGTGTCCCTTCACGTTGCCGACGGTCATTGACGTCCGTGGTGCGGGGATCAGCCGCGTTGCCGCTTTATTTTTGTAACATTTGAACGTATTACTAAATTTAGGCGAAGTTTGAAGCATATCGCTCGTCCAGGTTAAGGAATCGCGCGCGGTCCCAACTTTAAATAACCTTTATAGAGGGACCGCGGACGAGCATCGTCGCGCCCCTTTTCTTCGAGATCTCGGCGTTTTATGCACTACTCCTCTTTCGAAAATAAACCCGGACGAGCTCGTTGTCACAACAAAACAACACTGCCGGGTCCCGGCCGCTGTTCACGGCTACGCGGAGTTTACCTTACGTAACATCACAAAAACACCAAGTTCAATTTCCGCTCAACGATCCCCGTCGACATCTCACGTTTATAAAACTACTTTATGCATATACTTGACTTCCTTCACACCCAGACTTACGTCGCTGAATCATAACACACAATCTGTATAAATTTTACTAATTACGTGTTATGATCTGATAAATCTCTATATTTTCCTAACGACATAAATTGACGTCAAAAAGTTGAAAGAGCGGCAAGACCCTAAGGAGCTTTAATTAAAGGTTAGATTTCGATCTGTTTGCGTCGATTACATATTTGCCGAGTCCCCGTCAATCATCAATCATTCCGTGTTATCGCCGCAGCAACTGCTACCGTTTCGTATCGTCCTCCTTTTCCCTCAAAGCAGACGGTTAATTCGTCCACAAATAACGACGGCAAGTCGCCCGTAAGCACAAAGGGTTCCGGTACCCAAAGCCCAATTGCGATTATTAATGAGAAGAGGCACTTCGTCAGGCCGAGCGTGAAATTTCCCATCACCAGACGTGTGAACGATATTTTTCGGTTCGTTTGGTTTTTATCCGCCAACTATTCACTTGATGCGTAAGACCAATAAGCGTAAGGAACAGCCCCAACCCCAATATATTAGTAATTTTTTTTTTATAGATTATAAGTACAGTTTCGTAAAAATATTTGTTATAATATATATATTCAAAATATTTAACATTAATATTTAACACTAGATTTTTCTTCCAGATGACCAGGCGTTGTCAGAAGACCAAATATTGTTGGCAAAAGACTGGATACTGCTAATAGATGATTAGATTCTGCTAATGGAAGACTAGAAATTGCTGATAGAATACTAAATTTATTCACAAAAGACTTCTTACTGTTGGCAGAAGACTAAACACTGCTAATGGAACGCTAGGACCTCCTTGCAGATGATCAGACGCTGGTTCAAGACTATACATTGCTGGAAAACTGGATACTGTTAATAAATGATTAAATTCTGTTAGTAGGAGACTAAATACTGCTCACCGAAGACAATAAATTGGTGGATTTGCAGTAGATTAGACACCACTTAAGGCAGCTTATATTTGCCAATAGAACTTTAAAAAACTTGATATTGTTCCAGAAAGCTAAATATTCTTTAGATAGGAAGATACTGCTGGTTGAAGACTAGATACTGCCAACGTAAGACTAGATCCTCCTTATAGAAGCCTTGAAGCGGCTGCTAATATAATACTAGATCTACTTAAAATACACTACTTATTGCGTGAAGACGAAGCAGACATTATTATATTGTAATTAATTTACAATTTAATTAATCAATTTATATTCTTGACTCTATATTCTTATTTATTAGTATTGAGTAGTGAATATTTAGAGTAGAACAAATATTTACTAAAATCTATAAGAACCGAAAACAAATTTTATGCAGACAAACCGATGGGAAACAACTCGGGGCTGTGTCTGAATTTATTCAGGTGAGACAATAGATAGAGAGATTGCTCATTGTCTTCCCGAGGCGTCCCTCGAATAATTTTTACCATTCCCATGCAAATTAACGAGGAAACTTCCTCGGCATTGTGTCAGGCTGAGGAGCGGGACTGATTTATGGTTAAGAGATGGCGTAAAATCCCGGTACTCGTTATGGGAATGGTAACCACGTTCGTGACGCGATCGTAAACTACGCAATTTTAACGCCATCCGTCGATTATTCCCACTTAGCACCGATATTTACGCCCTAACCGCAAATCGATTCGATTGCAAACACAAAACCGTCTCTTCCGATTCACAGGTTTAAGGTTTAAAGCTCAGAATTTACCATGAAATGGAACGATTAAAAAAATGATAGCGCTTAGATGAAAGGAAAACCGATAGACGAAAGAAAACATACGTCTGACGAAAGCTTAGACGCTGAGAAAATAGTCCAAAAAGGGGTCGAGTGAATAGTTGTAATGTCTGGGGTGTAACCCTATTATCGCTTCCCCCAGCCAAACAGTCTGTCTACATACTATATTTAATTTCAAGAGTAGATGAAGTGTTATTAGGTTACAATCTGTCACTTTTTTTACATCCCAAAAAAATATGTATTGATATATATATAGTCCACCAAACAAACATTTATAACCTACAAAACTTTCATGTACTTTGATTAAATGATTCAAAACAAAACACAATGAGTCAAAAACAAGAACCGGAAAATCAGTTTGATGATTTATTGGATGATGAGATGGATGAGATAATGAAGAACTTAAATGTTACAAACATCAAAGATGTTCAAGATGAAACTTTAAATACTGAATCTTTAGAAGAAATGAATAAAGTTAATCTTAAAAGCACAAATCATCCGTTTGTTTTCTTCGAAATCGATGAAATTAAAAATATCACCACAACCAATCTTCCAAAAACGCAACAAATCAAAACTTGCGGTTTTTATTATCACCTTGGCGAAAAGATTTATTTACATCAACATCCTAACGCGGAAAAAACGCAAATTTTTGATGGAATTGAAGTGAATACAGACATGATTAGTGAATTTCCATTCGAAGGGAGATTGTATGAAAGTTTTGGGGGATTAACAGTGATGGGAGAAGAAGATAACGACCCAAAAGTGATGTTTGCCGTTTGGTTTTATCGCTTAAGAACTGGAACATACAACGACTTGGTAAAAATATGCAAAAAAATTAGGGAAATGTTTTGTAAAGACTTAATATAATTTATTTAAACTTAATTAAATCGTTTTGATATTGACCCATCATCAAGCGCCCTCTCTTTTTTAAAACCCACACTAAATTAAAACATTTGCAAAAAACAAAATTTAATAACATACAAAATTTTATTAATGTGTTTATATCGCATAAAAAAATCATTTCATAATGTTAAACATTAAAAGGTATTTTTGAAATTAATATTTTCAAAATGATGCGCGTGGGGTTTACGCAAAAGATTCACCCAGATACTGCTTGTTTATCACACTCTGAATATACCTGATCTAATTTTTTTATTACAACGCAAGCAATGGAATCCAAAGAAAATCAAGAAAACATGAAAGAACCCAATCAAACTATAGTAAGTTAAAACAATAACATAACCACAAATTTTAAATTCTAACCTTAAAAGCGACCGAAATCATTAAAACCCGAGGATAATGACGACAACGACGACGATATATCTCAACAAATGACGGCGTCTTACAGCGAAATTTCATTCAAATCTGGATTGAGCCCTGATGAGCCCAATGATGTGTTAAAGAGGCCGGTTACGCTGTGTGATGATACCAAAGGCTTGGGGCCACTTACTTTAGAAGGTATTGTTCATATTGAAGGGAACATGACTCATTTTGTTGCTGAAGATCTTGAATATAAAATTAAAATATCTAGTCCGCAAGCAAAGAACACTCCCACACATAGCAGGCACCCTAAACAAATTGGAAGTTTGGATGTAGGACTCTTAAATGATTTAGAGATTGAAGCGCAGCATTTAGCTACATCTGTGGATAATCTTACAGAAAATTTGTGTGGTATTTTACATTCAGTAAGTTTAAAAGAAAGAGTGTTTTTAATATTAATGATTTATTTTGCTTAGATATCATCAATTACTGCAGATAATGTGGATGTATACAAAAATGCCGTTTCTAAGATGTCTGATGATATGGATGCTAACATAAAAGTTTTTTTTAATTAGTTATTGATTGAATTTATTGATAATTAATAATTTTTAGAGCATGTATACCATGATGGCAAAAGCAGAAGAAGTGACGCAAACTATGAAGTCTGTTGATGCGCATGCAAATAGAGTGTAAGTCTGATTAATTGAGATAATAAGGAATTGATGTGATTTTGTGTTTTAGAAAAGAAATCAAGAGATTGGTTGATTTATTTGAAAGTTATTTGTAATTTATTTTTAGCTATTTTATATAAATATTTTTAATTTACTTACTAATAAAAATTTCTCGCTTAATTTTGTCTTTATTTAGCTTTTAAATATTGATTTCGGAGTAATCTTGAGTAATCTGTACTCTTAGCTTGAGTTATTTCCCACTAGATGGCGATGCACGAAAACTTTTCTATGTTGTTGAAAGATGGGGTTGTAAAATTTTGGTTAAAAATAGCGGGATTAATTTAAATTTGAATTTATTTTAATTCTTGATTAATTAATGTGTGGTATAAATAAAATTGATTGATTTAAAACTTAATCTTTTTATGAATAATTTATTGCAAAAAATAATTATTGGATCGAAATTTATGATTTTGTTTTTTTTTTGGTTTTTTTAAAGATGATGGGCGGTCGGGAATTTTGCGAATTGGTGCTCTGGACGTCTCTTGGGAATCGCTGCGCGCGCTCTAACCCATGAAAGTGGCGGAATTGTCCACAGTTGTGCTGCAAGATGCGTGAACGGTGGTGCTCTGCGATCGCTTCTGTGTATCGCACGCGGTAATCGTCCAAAAGACACCGCTCTGGTGTAGGAGTTTGAAGGCGAAGTCAGAATGCCGTGTGCTTAAGTATCGTCCTGAAGATCGAAGGTTGATTTTTAGGAATGTCCAGAAGGAAACAACCGAATCCTGCCAAATTAGGTGAGTGACACGCACGTGTCTGTCCAACAGCGGTTTTCGGAATTGGATTTTTTTTGAAAATTTACTAAAGAATCGTCGTGGAAAATAATTTCGTTTTGAGTTTGTAATTTAGCATATCGACGCATTCGGCTGGGTGAACAACGGTAGGCGATACCCAAGAGACCTAAGGGTCAGGGGAGTAGCACGGCACAGACAGGGAAATATGCGATCCCATGGTGCCATCCCTTGGGAGCCGTATAGCCGCCTGCCGGCGGAGCTCGCTCCGAGCTCCATGTATAAACTAGTAATATTACAGTTCCGTATTTTGCTCTTAAAATGATATTATCAGATTAAAATGTTTATTTTATTTTCACCCCCCGCGGCACCCCGTAGAATTGGACCGGGGACCTTTTGCCCCTCACGGAGACGTCGTTTCCCGCGGGACGCCGCTTCTGCACTCAAAGACGCCGCGAACTCTGTTTTCGTTTTCCGAACTTCCGTCTTTGTTAGTTTTTACTTCCGCTTTCGACCAACTTATTCGCCGGTCTTTTTCAAATGCAACACCCCACACCTGCGACGACTATTAACATGAACCAAATCATTCTAAAGTTAGAATGACAAAAATGTTTTAAAACTTTTTGATGGACGTTTTAAAGAAGTACTTTGTTTTGCAGTTGTAGATTGTAGTTTGGGGTTGGATTACGGGTGAATAAAACCGATATGGTAGCGCGAAATTAGCTGGGGAAAATCTTGTAATATATTTAGCCATTTATGACCGTTTAAACAACTATTATTTTACAGCCCCTTGGAGGCCGTTCGAAATATATTTCAAACGGGCTTAGCTCGAACGGGCCAGCGTTCGGATTATCAAGGGTTTTAAAAAGATCTTGGCGGAAATCGATACGGGCGCGTACATAATGCGAAGCCTTTACACACATCTGCCCGGAATGAATCGAATGTGACAGATGACGGAAGGCAATACTAAAATTCGCGGGTAAATACGAACTCCCGTGCGGTTCCTAAAAGCATCACGCCGTACGGGGGAATAATAATAAACATTATTTCGTTTCTTCGAACGTCTTGAAGGTATTGCGTTTCGTTTTCGGCCTGCGGGGAAGGGGGGAAATTTCAATTTTCCCGTCACCCCGCTGGTTCGCATCAATCGTAGTAATAAGTTTTGTTGGGGAACTGCGAATTTTATGCGAGAAAACGACACCGTTTATTATTTATATTCAACATAGTTCGGCTAATGCAAATTCATCAGGGTGACGCCGTAACATGTAACATATTATGATGGAAGAAGTAACTTATGAAAACCCCCGAGGGACACCGCCGGCTCGAGCACGTATTCCCTAGGGCATACTATGCCAAGGCGGTAGAAAATTAATGCAACCCTTTGGGAAATCCTACCTTCCGTACCCTGGGGGCGCGTACTGGTAGCTGCGCTCTAAACTTTTCACCTACGTGTTTCTTTTGTACGCCGAACATCTTTCCATTACAACAAAATTCGTCCAATCGACCTATTAAAACTACTTTCTTTCTTATTGATCTATATAGTATATTAAATCATTAAGATTTCTACTATTTTTATTTTTTAATTATTTTTACACATCAAAGCAAGTATGCAACCAATATCACAGTACTGGTATTGCAATACGCAAATCGCGATGTTGGTTGCATATTAATAACCCAAACCAAAAGTAACATCTAATTATCATCTTAATTAAGAAGTAAGTATCTCATTTGAAAATCGTTTAGCATAATATAAGTTAATATAAGTTATAATTTAGAAATTTTAGAAATATTATTGTTTTAGGCGATTGTGAATTGAAAATGAAACCGGATGAATTAGGAAAAAAGATGGAGGAGTCAAGAAGTGAAAAAAATGAAGAGGAAGATGAAGAGAGTGAAGGTTCGGAGTTGGGGTGTCTAGATGATGAAGACGACGGTAGTGGCAGTGTGAACGGTGAGCAGTGAAACTGGGGTTTTTCGTCGTGAATAATACACGCGGTAATGTCCGGCCGGTGCATCGCATTAAAATTGGTTTTATTGCCCGCTTTTGAACTGTAATACGTCACAAAGTTCGAATTGAATTAGCGGGCGCCCGGCGGGCGACGCGACAACATTTTACACTTAACGCGTTCACGGGATTTTGAGCTGATGCGTTTTCTACTCTTGTGTCAACCGGCTACCGTGTTCATTATTAAACGGCTAATGCGGCCGCATATCGGAGATATGAATTATAGAGCGCTCGGTCCTCATTATATTTACATTGCCAGTTCTTCGCTTATCGATTCCGGTTTTTGGACGCCAAAATTTTGTTTCGAATTCGATAGTTTTCAGTTACTGCCGCGACGCAATACTAGATCGCCACCAAACGACACTAAAGTTTTGTTCCCGTCTCTTTCCCCCTCGGGACATTTCCGCTCGTTTTTATTAAGACCCCCTCCGCAATTACGATTACTTATTTATCACCTCGCCTGCATTTTTCACGTTTTCTCATAATTGTGGAAAAAACGTTTTTTATTTCTACGATTGCCGCCTTATCAACCTGTAAATTGTTTATCTCTCCAGCTTTCGCGCGCGAAGAAAGAGGGCGCCCGCGGACGTCCCCGCGGGGCCCATTGTGCCACTGTTGTATTACTGTCTAATTCAATGCATTACTGTAGCCTTGTAACTGGTCCCTGGGCGCCTATCGGTAGGGTTGGCTCTGTGCAATTGTTGGGTCCGTTGGTGCCCCCTTGCGTCCCCGAGCTTCAAACCCCCCGATAGCCACTTTTTTAAACCAACTGAAATTCACATAAATTCTAGGTATATTTAAAATAATATTTTGAAATTATTAATATAGTAAAATATTAATAATTTTTTAATAATCGAGGTTGAAGTAATATTCTGTTGGAATTTTTCGTTAAAATTCGGTATGAATTCTTAAGGGGTAAGTGGTAACAGACGGCGGCACACGGCGTGGAGGGTGTCAGGCGCTAGACTCCTCTGGGAATCGCGAAGCAATCTCGACCATTTCGTCCCCAAAGGCAAAGACTCAATTAAACTTTAAGATGATATGCAAGCCCCCTTGCCTTTCCCCATTCTTGTGCGGCCCCGGCGCCTGCGGGGGCAGTCGATCGCGGCCCTCTCGTGCCGGCAGTAAATAATTTAACCCTTTCTTCCGAACTATCGACCCAAGATCACATGTAGAAAGAAAATTAGTAAAAAATTGAGAATTTTGATTATTTAAAACATTTACGTCAGTTTTTTATTCGGCGAATGGAAAACGCATTAAACATGCAGGCGAAAAATCGAGGTTAACGTGAAGTGTTTGCAACAGGTGGAAATCGATACCCACGTGGAGTTAGCCGTTTGAATATTTCAAGCTTTTTGTGTCATTTTGTTGGTGAGCGCTCGATGTACGAACGCGCCCTGAAAGGGCCGCCCATTTTTCGTCATCAGCGCTCATAGCAGAGATATTAATCCCGATCGAGGTTCGCGGCGCGGCCGTTGCTTTTTTCAACCGATGTGATCAAAGAATCTCGTTTCTTCTCACGATCTATATTAGGACAGTATTGGCTTTGGGTATTTCTTACGGCCGTCCTCCGATAGATATTGTCGCCGCGTGCGCAACGGTGTGGACCGCTTAAATCGTATAATTATGTACATAACGCGACCAGCGTCGTTCCAAATTAAGTAACTAGTTTGAAATTCAATTGCGGAGAATTCGAGATAACCGAATGACCATGGCGAATATTAATTTTTCGCATTTTCATTTTTTTTTGTCTTTGTTTCGCTTTCAGGTCGTGCCAGTTCCCCTTCGAGCAGCAATTCCTCACCGGTTAGTTGTCGCAGTTTCGGATTAAGCGACGCCACCGACGTCGAAGAAACTTACACTGTCGGCGCCACCGCTACCACCCCTTATGAATGCAACGTTTGCAAAAGAGCTTTTTCGAGATCTTCAGTATTGGGCAAACATTTACAAGTAAATTAATATTTACTTAAAATCAACAAAGTATTTTTTTTTCATTTTAAGGTCCACACGGACCAGTTGCAATTTAGCTGTCCGTATTGTAGAAGGCTTTTTAAACATAAAAGATCAAGAGATCGACACACTAAGCTTCATACGGGCGACAAGAAATATAAATGTGCGTTATGTGATTCGGCGTTTGCGAGAAGGTAAGGATATTTTCGGTTTTTATTTACAATTCAAGTTTAATTTAAATATGAATAAGCTATAAATGTTAAATTTGCGCGCCACCCAATAAGAAATAACCCATACAAAAGTGAATACCATTCGGGATTCTCTGTCCATAAGGAGTTACAGCCTGAGGGAGTAGCGGCCTTGCGGGATTCTACCGCTGGGCAGGCGGCGGTCCCAAATCATGAATAACGAACAATCATAAAATTTTAACAGGCCCAGGGGCAGTGGTTCTAAAACAGTCCTCGTTCCAGCGACCATCTAAAAATCCACATGAAGACGCACGACAACAAAAAGCCACACCAGTGTGATTTATGCAATAGAGGTTACAACACGGCGGCGGCGTTGGCTTCTCATCAACAACATCACACGAAAAAAGAACTTAGATGCGGAAGTAGTTCGAGTAGGACGACGACTACTCCAAGCACTCCCAGTCCAGGTCAAACGAAGTGCTCACAAATCCAGGTGAGTACAAAACGATCTTCCACGGATTTTGATCGATGTGGAAGATCTTTTCAGAACAAGCGTAAACTTCCAACGCCAAACAACGATACTACCGTGCCGAAACAAGAAGTGGATCTTAAAATAGCTTGTATGTACTGCGGTAAAGATTTCGCAACAATGAACTTGATGTATCAACACATCAACATCGACCACTCCTCTTTATTTTTTCAACACAGCTCGCTCAGTTACGTCTGTGATTTATGTTCCATGAAATTTGATACCTCCCAAACGCTAAGGGAACACTTAGAAGGTGTCCATTGGAAATTAAACGCCGTTGGAACGTCATCCCAAGCGAAAGCGACCGATTTAAGTAGAAAACGTAAATGTGATGAACCTGAAGATAACCGAAAAACTGAGGAGATTAAAAATTCGCCCTCAACTGTTAGTAGCCCGTATGACACCAACGATAAGCCATGTATTTGTTCGTATTGTTACGCACAAATGCCTAATTTTAAAAGTTTTTTGGTCCATATGGAAACTCACGTGTCACTGAATGCTTCGAGTCTCATTGGATATTGCCCGGTTTGTGGAGAACCGGGTCGAGACCCAATTGAGTTTAGTTCTCACATTTTCGGACATGTCGTTAGCGATGCCACAGGAAGGTGTTGCCACCAATGCAAAAAATCTTTCGATCAACTCGATCAGTTACAAAAACATCACTTTGAGGCGCACTCCCAAAGTGTGTATAAATGCACGTTGTGTGGGGAATACTTTGAAAATGAGATTGCTATTCAGGTAATTTTATTAACAATATTGTTTTAGTTTGAAAGAGAAAAATTTTTATTTTTAGGTTCACTTTAACAATAAACATTGCAACGAATGTAAGCATTATAGATGTAATTTATGTCCTCAGCAATTTTTTCACGATAGATTAACAGCCGATTTACACGTTTCTATGAGACACGGTTCCCAACTCTCCGGAAGAAACCAAATTTTAAATAAATTCGCCGCGCCGTTTGGCGATGTTGAACCAAGATTGTATCAATCGTATCAATGCTCATTTTGCCACAAAATGTTTCAAGACGAATACTTACACCATCTCCATGTTTTAAAGGAACACAACGAATCCAGAGAAGTAAAAAACATCAAATTATATTTTTAAATTATTAAAAAATTCTTATTTTTTATAGGGGGAGTATTTAGTAACATCAACATCGCCAAATTTTTCATATAAAAGTATATCCCCTCAAGATGGCCTCAAAATGGTTCCTAATATTCCTTGCGAAGTTTGCAACCGATCAGATTTTACAACCGAATCAGAACTTTTAGCCCACAAAAAGCTGCATCAAACACACGTCAAAGCTAAAATAGGGGCTGTTAGCCTTCAGTGCGCGTATTGCAACGAACATTGCAAGTCAAGAAGCGATTTAGAAAATCATATGAAAAGCCATCAAGTATCTTGCGGTAAAGGAAAACACAAATGCAATATTTGCGATGAGATTTTTTCATCCGCCATCACTTTAGCCGATCACAAATTAACTCATTGCAAAATAATCTCCGGAAACACGTGTACGCAGTGCAAAACGGTTCTAGAAGATGAACAATGTTTTTACACCCACCAAATGCAGCACAATAACTCTTCATCGATCGCAAAGGGTCACTCTCAAATCCCTTTGCCTGCAAATTGTGTTATTTGCTGCCAAACGCTTCAAACAGACGTTGAGGTTAGGTTACACGCGAAGTTCCATTTAAGACATATTTACCAGAAGGAATTTCTTTGCGTAATGTGCAATAAAATCTACGAGAATCAACTCCAAGAAAAAAATAATGGCGTTTCTATTTCGATTTGTAAAGATTGTAAGATGACTTCGAACGGAACGAGTTATCAAATACAAAAGGATTATAAGAATTTTGTCGAATACGAAAAAGAACAAGACGTCAAATTGCGCCATATGGAAGATTCAAATTTAGTTTGCAAGATTTGTAGAAATGTATTTTCAACCCAACAAAAACTTCAGGTGCACTTAATTGAGCACAATTTTATGGGTATGGGTCAATACCGTTGTTACATTTGTTCTTCAGTTTTCACGACGGCGGCCGGCCTTCAAGGTCACATCGTAGGTCACGGATTGGCACAAAGTCCGTACGAATGTACCGAGTGCAACATGAAATTCTTTTTCGAAACGGAACTCGAAAATCATAGAATTAATCATGCGCAAAAATTGGGCGACTCAAAAAGCGAACAGTACAAAGTTTGCGAGAACTGCTCCGGTGTATATTTGGATAGCTTCTTTAGGGAACACGCGGAAGTGTGTTGCAAGGTTGAGATTAAAACGGAAGAAGTCGATGATAAACCCTATGATAAAACGGCGGACGATTGCGGTGATGCTGTTTAGATAGATCGTTCCGAAATTTGTGATACATTGTTAGGAACCTTATATTTGCACATCGAACGGGTCCATTTTGAAACTAATTATATATTTTATGGCGTTCGGTTTTCCGATTCGTTTTTTTATTATTATTATTAGTGGTTGAGTGCTCGCTAAGTTTTCCTCTTCCATTTTCTAAAATAACTATTTTATTTATCATTTTTATTATTATTTTTTGCAATTAATAGAATGTCATTGTGCAGTTTATATCGAAATTCTATCGAATATAAAAAGCAACTGTGTACTTCCCTGGGGAGTAATAATAATGTCTCCAGGGACTATATTGCGGTATAAATGGAATTGGAAATTTAATAAAATAAATAATTGTTATTTTAAAATGAAAATTGGCGAGGGATAACGAAAATTAAAAAGAGCTTGGTTTAAAATTAATTTGATAAATTCAAAAAATTATTAAAAATGGCGAACACTTTTCCATAAATACTTTAGTACCTGTTCCAGTTGCGTTGCTTGTCTCGTTTAGAAATTGCACTTTTAAATTTAGGCCACACATTATATATCTTAGTGACCTTGATAACGTAAACGTCTTCCAGTTATTCATTTTTATTGTTTTCCCCGTCTACTTACCGTCCATGATTGCCCTTTTTCTTTGTTATACATTATTACTTTTTGAAAAAAAAAACTCACAACGAAAAATATATATTGTGTTTTATTTACTCCTAAAACAATCTTTTACAATTTACAATATTAACCTCGTCAGTAACGTTTCAAAAATCGATACGTATATATTTATTACGCATTCTCTTACTTTCTAATTCAACTTTTCACCGTGAGATGGATTACCTTTTTTTATCATCATTTCAACTCGACTTTTCGCCGTAGGATGGAAGATTGTAAAATTATCATTAATAACATATATATGTTGTTATATATGAAGGTATATAATCAAGTGTCTTGTTTTCTACAATTTTTTTTTGTCTCAGTTTTATTAATTTCGTAAGGAATTATCGAGAATGTTATCTTATCAAAAGTCAAACAGTTTTAAGCGATTCGCGTTAAGTAATCCTTATAAAATATAAATAGCACACAACGTATAGTAATAAATAGGAATTTGCGATGAAACTTAATTATTATATATGAAATATATTTACGTTATTCGGTTCCCAAGAGGTTTTCTTTGGTTAAAATCGTCTGGCGAACTTTCGATGTCGGACTAGTACTTTTATACGACTCGAAATGTTGTATTTTTTCTTTTATAGATAAACTTTCTCTTTCACTGTTATCATCGTCGTAGTAATCTTCGGGATGTCTTAAAACGACTTCTTCGTTATCAATTATTTTTACGCGTAAAATCGAATTTTGATTATGATCAATATTCGCACAACCATTTGTAACGGGAGAAGTTTTCTTTGGTATTTCATCAGTCTCTATTTTTGCATCCTCATCGTTTTTGGTGATGTCATCTTTTATTATATCTTTGATTTCGTACTCTTCTTTAAAATCGCTTATTTTCTCATCGATTTCTTCGTCCTTTTTAGAATCTTTAATCGCGTTTGTGTCATCTTTATCATTCTCGTCGACATCTTCGACTTTGATGGTTACCTCGTTGGAGAAAGTCAAGTTGTTATTCGTATCGTCGGTGAACTCGGCTATTTTGCGGGTGATTTCTAAAATTTGTTGAGTTTCTTCTTCGCGATACGGCACTTCTTCGTTCTCTGAGTAACATATCGAAGAAGCGTCGGTATCCGTAGAAGTCAAACTCCATTTGGAGCCGTTTCTTGAAGGCACTTCTAAATACTGGCCATCGCTGCTAGTCTAGAAAATAAGATGTTTGAGGTTTTGAGAAATAAAAGGGAAAGACAAAATGAAAATTACTATTCCTGGAGGCAACGGGGCAGCGCGTTTTTTCTTCTTCTTCCGTAATTTCGATCTAACGGCGGGAACGGGTGGTATGTCTTCTGGTGGGGCGGATTGGGGAAGAGGTGGCGGTAAATCTTGTTCGTCAAAAGGATTGTCGGCTTCGTACGTATTGGAATTTTCCTTAGTTGAAATTCTTTTGAGGTGTTCTGTTTTTTCCAATCTTTCCTTGAACCTAGATCTGGGTAGAGCTTCGGGCACGTGCGCGCTGTGATTTTGAGGAGTTAATTGGATCGTGATCCGATTTCTCTGAAGGTCTAAAATTTTAGTGACTTGATAAAAAACGTTGGTGATAAAATGATGGTTTCACACCTTTATCCGGTCGTTGTCTGTCCTTTCCGGTGAAAGACCTGAACCTGGAAGGATCGCGTTGATTAGGTCGTTTATAACGTCTTATTACTGTACAATGGGGGCTTAAATGGAAACAACCTTCGCTCGCAATTCAAATTAGACGCGAAGGAGGCGGCCACGACGTTTACACTTTATTTGAGCGCTGGGTAATTAACCGATTAATCGGTGATCACGCTATTGATGCGTGATATTTAGAGAGAATATAAATTTCTCAGCGGATATAAATAAACAAATTACGGCGAGTTGCGCTATAAATAAAATAACACTTACACCTTTCGGAAGGAGTTCCTCAAGCCACCCTTAGACTTGAACGGATTCAAGTGTTCCGGGTAATTTGGAACGTTCCCGTTCATTTTCCGCTCCGGGATTCACTCACACTACGCGCTTTCGTGGAAGAAACTCGTTCATTAAACGCGTTTAGCTTTATGTGGACACCGTTTTTGACTAATATGTGTTGGATACTATCCCATCAGTTTTTCCCCACTACCGTGCTACCTTTGTGACGCGCCAAGACGTCATTTATACCGATTGTTGCATCGCAACGCTTTACCGTCGCGAAAATTGCGAATCGATCGGCTCGGTTATTTTTAAACCATTGTACAATATCAAATCGATCGATACGCGATTTGATTTTATATAAATTTAATTAAAAAAGCCAATTTGTTATAAACATTTTTATTAAAAAAAGCAATGACTCAATAAGACATGTATGTATATTATGCATATCGCTTATTACTCATTGCCGATTGCTTTATTTATTAAAACAGCGTTTATATTTATTTATTTGGTCATGATTTCGACCTCCAAGGTTATCGTCTTGTTTAAAACGGCGATTACGACGTAATTTGAATGTGATGACAAAAAAAATGCGATTTCCGTCATTTCCTTATTTGCAACGGTAGACAAATATTATTTTTAACTATAGATTTAAAAGGAATTTAGTATTAAACGAAATTATCAAGTAAAGGAATTTTTTATTAATAAACAAGAATGCTTAGGTGCTATTGGCAGTGATTAAAAATATATCACCATTTAATTTACTTTAATAATATCGTGTATAAGTCCATAGCATACCATAACAGAGACAGCAATGAATCCTGCGATAACTACAGTGCCTAAAGGAGCTTTTTCAGATTCTACTTTTTGGGGAATCTCGCTGGGAATCACTGAAAATAAATAATGAAAAAATTTGTTAATTACAATAAATTATTTACCTCCTTCGTATTCCTCTCCAAACTCCTGTAGGAACATTTTAACATATTTAACGATCTTCTTATGATTATTCACAATATTTTGCAAAATTTTATTAGGAAACTCCAAAATTACAATTGGTGCTAAATAACCACAAACAAGGGCGTCCAACGACGATGGTTTATCCCCAAAAAGATATTTTTTGTCTTTAAGCAACTTCGAGAGATCTTCTAAGTAAGAATCAACAGCTTCATTTCCCACTTTTAAAACTTCAGCTAAAGTATCTCTTTCAGTTAGGTCTTCGACTATACGTTGAACATGACGGTTCATGCGACGCGCAAATATCACCCTAAAAGGGAAGTGTTTTCCTTCACCGTATTGTTTTATTAAATGTTGATTATTTCTATCATAACCCCAGCTATAAAAACAAAAAATTAGTTTTCGTGGTAATAAGTGATATGATTATACATACAAATGTAAATCGAAAGTATCACTAAACACGTTATGCGTGAGGTGTTTGTAGGCTAATATTCTACTTTTATCTAATGTTGAAAAGGTTTTATCACAGCCATTAAGAACCTAAGACAAAAAATATTTATGAATTATAATTCATAAATAAAAAATAAAGTAAAGGATTAAAACATAGAGAGGGGGAACTAAAATATTTTATTTATTTTTAATATTAGTGTACAATGTTGGTTGTGAACTCCTTTAATGAGACTAATACTGCAAAGAGTAGAAGGGTTAAAATATCTAATAATAATATCTTCATAGAGTAGTTTCTTTAAATCCTTTCATGGAGGATAACTCACATATCTCTCAAAGTTCTACTAAATCCAGAGACGTTTTGACAATATAGTCTAAGAAGCTCTTTGGCTTCAAAAATCTATCTTATATTTTATGGATAACATGGTTGTTTAGGAGATGTTTTCAATTTTAACCCTGACAGAATGGATGAATCGAATCCAAGATGGCTTCCTTTACCCATCAATCCCAATAGGATTTAAACAGTGGGAGATGGGAGCAGAGATGAGTTAGAATCACGTGTTTCTTTCAAGTATATACTAGCCTCCTTGACTATTGATTTCACTCAAGAACTCTACTCTTGGCTAAGTTATAGTTTTATGTGCTAATAAGTTATGCTGTGTTATGGTTTATGGCACCAAAAACGGCTTATAATGGCAAGAAAGTGGACGATGTTGCGTCTGATTTGCTACTTGCAATTTTAGAATCTAATCTCTGATTGTCTTTATTTATTATTTTGGAGGATATAAATTTATTCCAAGCACATTTGTGAGTCAAATCTTATTCTTACAGTCTTCATTTTGTCTTTTAGAACAAATTTTGTAGCCTATCCATATTACTCATGGTTACTCCTTAGGTATTCAGGTTCTCCTCTAATTTATTTATCTTCTTGCTGGTTGTATAAAGTTTGTGCTATCCATTTTCTAGTCTTTGTGTGGACATAAATTTATTTTCCTTGTCCCATTTATAATTGAGTTCTATCCTCTTTGCTTATGAAGGTTTTTTCACATTCAATAAGGTATGATTTGAGTCACACATATAACATAAATACTTACCATTTTATGAACAGCATTTGTGATACCCTGCAATGTATAATATATTTTTTCATTACTATTTAAATATGGTAGTTGGGGGTATGTGCAAAACCGGCAAGTTTTAAGCGCTATATTATGTTTAGCATGGATCCTCAATAGAAACTAAAGAATAAATGAGATTGTGTTAGAAAATCTTGTTCATATTGGCTTGGATAACTTACAATTAGTTGGAGACACTTGGGGTCGACCGAAGGAAGCCCGTAATTGCCTCTAAAAACGTAAAGAGTCCCAGGAGCGCCCCTTTCCATGTTAATACACCGGCGACATAACCTCGTTTGTCAAAGTCATGTATTCATGTTTGTCGAAGATAATTAAATTGAAAAAAATTATCGCTTGTGTATGTATTTTTGTGTTATTAATAAATACAACGGAATGTTGAGGTGGTGCGATAATTTAATCTAAACGTGATTTAAAGTTATATTTTTAGTTAACAACAAAAAATTAAGTTACAGGTTTCTATATTACCACCGAAATCAACTTTACACTAACAGATAGCGCTCGCATACCAGCAAATAATTCCACATAATTCAAACTATGAAATTTCAACATTGAGCACATACATATTTAAAATATGACGCGAGCGCTTTGTTGAAGTTTCTTTCGAGTTTCAAGGCGGCTTTAAATTTTAAATTCATGATAAAGAGAGATTTTACGGAAACGGTGTTGGTACAAATTGAAATCTTTTATCAACATAAAGATTCATGTTTTTTAAACAATTTTAATTGAGACAATAAAATATTTTATTATTTGATTTGATGTGAATTCCATCAATAGGAGTATTGAGTTGAATTTCCCATTTGTGGGTTGGTGAAAAACGGATGAAAACAAAGTGTTTTGGACTGGTGGGATAAGGTAAAAATGCGGCTATCTTCGATTCCCTAAAGGTGGAGGGGGGTTAAAAGGGGTTTGTTTTGAAATCTCGAAGTCTGGCTCCGTTGTCGGAGTTGTCTATCGATTCGTAGGGAGGCTTTTGGATGTGGCTCGAGTGTTTTCAATTACATAATATATCAATATAATATACATTTGCCGCGTACAATGACGCGATGAAATTCGAGTTGGCTTTGAATGCCTTGGGAGCATATTGTATGTCCTTGCCCAATATGGGCCCGGAAGGAATGGATTTGCTAGAGAAAATTAGCGGACCGATATCATTGTTAGAGTACAATTGACTCGAATGGATTGCTCACCAGGCAACCTTATTGTCCTGCATTATAAAATAGGAATCCATTATTACGAAGTTAATTGTTCGTTCAATATTATAATGCTTTACCTTTTACTGGTTTCCCCTTAACAATATTCGATCGATAATAGTCGTAATCGAAATCGTATAAATGTTGTAATTCCGATGATTAAATAAGTTTTTTGAATGAATATATAATTATTAACAGTTGTTTTTGTCGTTTTGATTTTGAACAAAACTTTTGTGTCGAGAACTAAAATTTAAACCCCGAGAAACTAGAACAACAATACCCGTCAGCGTTCGTGGTTTTGTATTAAGTATTAAAACGACGATCCAATCTCGATAACAATTTACTATTTTATAGAAATAACTCGCCACGTTCAAATTATACATTCATGAGATTTTTTAATTCTACTTTATTAGAACGTTTATTAAAAGTTAGAAAATTTTAATATAAAAACACACTTTTTTGTTTTATTTTTCTCGGTTTCGCGTTTTCTGCGCGATTATTTCTACGGCTTGCGTGCCACACAATTTCGGGCGCATCTCCGAACGAACAATGCCTGGGCGTTTGTCTAATTCTGGTAAACGCCGGGGACAATAGAGAAGACGTAGTGTGGAATATTACGTGACGGAGCAAGCAAAACGTGCACATATTTTCGACATTAGCGCCACCGTATATCTGAAAGTTTTCGCGTTCTTGCGGCGAAACGCGATCCGCAATCCGCTTCGAATCCAGTTAAGATTTTTTCTATTTTATAAGTTACCTAATATAGAATAAAAGGCATTGTATTAGTTAGTTCAAACAATCTTAACTGTGGTGAGTGTGGTAAAATTATGATAAACCATTTTCGCTGAGGTGGTAATCGTAGAGCTGCAGTATAACGAGCGACCACAGACAAGGAGCTTATAATATGATTATGTGGCGTTGACACAATTTGGTGACATGACATACCATAAACCGGATGCGAGACGAGAGACTTTAAACGGAAGCCGTTGGCAGGTGAAAAGCGTAATGTAATTATTAAAATTAACTCTATGCAAAAACTTAAATTTTTAAATTTAAGAATAAATTCAAACGGATTGCATTGAGGAGGTCGTATTTTAGTTAGAAGGGATGTTACTGTTGGGGTCCAAGTGGCTGTACAAGGGTTGAATACCGAAGGGAGTAATTGATAATCGTATTTAGTTCGCATTAGGTTTAATGCAATTTCTTAATTGTTAATTTCCACTCTCCGGACGGCAACGGCGTTCGTCGATGTGGGCGTATTCTGGGAGGGTGCATTTTTAACCCCCCGACAACCGCAATCGTGGGGGAAGCCCCACTTATCGTCCACTTGGGCCAAAAAAAAAGAACACTCCGTCGAAGCGCAATTGCGAAAAGAATTACCGGAGGACATTTTAATTCGTGCCCGCGCTAAACGGGAAATGCATCGAAGTTGATTAAAAAGTCTCCTCCCCCGGGCCACGACCGCCCGTCGCTTGTAATTTTATAAAATACCCATTTTCGAGTGTTCAATTCTTTTTTAAGCGCACAAACACTACTCAATAACGGTCATTTTATTATTCAATGGGGGTTCACGTTAATATTTACCCTCTCCACATCGTTTAATTCCGCCGGCAGTAATTCAACAACATATTCATCGTTTGATTGTGGCTGTTATTCATCACAAATCAATAATTAAGTTTTCAAAATTATCTACGGAAATTGAACGGATATTACTATAAAAACAATCATAGTGATCTATATTCATCTCATACGTTTATCTACTAATACATATTATGTATGCAAAGACCATTTTCCATATTTAGTTTGTCATTATTATTTTTTGCATCAGTTATTAATTTTGTATCACAAATTTTTGCAAATTTAGCGTCATTTTATAGTTTATCCTAGTTTGACTTAATTATGGATTTATTCAGGATCATACGCCAAATAGCTGTCCAGAAAAAGTATTTTAGTTGTCTCTAAAATCTTCATGGCACCATTTATGCTTTTCCATTCCTCCCTAACATATCTTATTTTGACATTTTTGACGAGGTCGTACAAGTATGTACATATTATGTGCAAATACTGTTGTTGCAGGAGATCTATAAATATGTGAGGAAAGTTGTACGACTTGGTCAGAAGACAAGGGTACTCAATGTTGTGATCCAAATGATCTAATCTAAGAAAACCAGCTTGGAGGGTGTGGATAAGAGTTCTTGCACAACCTCCCAATACTTAACCCGGTTTTATCTTGCCTTAAAAAATACAGAGCTAACTGTTCTGAAGGTTAATATGACAACTTCTTAGCTACCATCAATATGCGGTTCGATGTCCGTTCTTAACCCATTAACTGCCAACTTCCTTTTTCTGTATTTTTGGCAAGGAAAGTTATAAATAGGTGCAAAAAAGTCCTAAATGGCAATTGTAGCAGATTGGGTTGGTAAAGTTGTTAATAGTAAAACCAACCCAACCCAAGTATTGTTCGTGATATAAGAAGTACCTTCATAGTCATAAGTCATAAGTCGGCCGAGATTACTTCTTATATCACGAACAATACTTGGGTTGGGTTGGGTTCGGTTGGGTTGGGTTGGTTTTACTATTAACAACTTTATGGAACAAATAATCTCGGCCGACTTCGAAGACGTCGGCCGCTCCAACTTGTACTTGTGATATAAGAAATAATCTCGGCCGACCTAAGCATTGTTTATCATATTGTGGCAGATTGGGTTGGGTTGGTAAAGTTGTTAATAGTAAAACCAACCCAACCCAAGTATTATTCGTGATATAAGAAGTAATCTCGGCCGACTTCGAAGACGTCGGCCGCCCCAAATATTGTTCGTGATTTAGAAATCATCTCGGCCGACTTCGAAGACGTCGGCCGCACCAAGTAGTGTCATTAACGATACTTTGGGCGGCCGACGTCTTCGAAGTCGGCCGAGATGATTTCTAATATCACGAACAATATTTGGAGCGGCCGACGTCTTCGAAGTCGGCCGAGATTACTTCTTATATCAGGAACAATACTTGGGTTGGGTTCGGTTGGGTTGGGTTGGGTTGGTTTTACTATTAACAACTTTATGGAGCAAATAATCTCGGCCGCCCTAAGTATTGTTCATCATATTTGGTCGAGATTCGGAGATAGTCGGTCGAGATTATTGTTCATGATACTTGGGGCGGCCGACGTCTTCGAAGTCGGCCGAGGTTATTCTTTATATGGAAAGAAATAATCTCGGCCGACATAAGTATTATTCGTGATACTTGGGGTATGCAGAGTTTCCAGTAGAGGTGTACCTTCCAACAAATACTCTTCCAAACCAATTCATCTAATTAAGATCTAACATTCTTTTTGTAGTTAGTAAGTATCTAGTAACGATTAAGGGTGTCCAAGACTTTTTCAACCTTACCGCTCATTTTGGATTAATCTTTTATAATTTCCAGTTATATTTTGTTATTTTCCATAAAATTGTTTTTGCCAAACATTTTTGCCAAACAAAACGGATAATGCTATTATAGGCTTTAAAATGACACGTGAGATAAAATTAATAATTAAATCGAAATGATAAATGTTTTCAATAAAAAATTTGAATAAAGTGATAAAAATGTTTGTATTAATTAGTTCGCTAATTTTATTATATTTTGAATGAAAATAAAAATTTGATAATTAGTTTGTGGTATATCGAGGGTTCCGCAATACTGTTGGCGTTAAGATAACGAGAGAGAGAGGACGCAGGCGTCGGTGAGGGGCGTCTGCGCCCTGTCAGCGGAATTTGTACCTGGGTCAGTCTTGATTCGAATCCGCTGTTGTACGCTGGTTGTATAGCTGTGCTAGCCAACATAAAAACAATGTGACGCGAAATATCGCGCCGTCAAGCAAAATTTTAAACTGTCGCCAACCTGATTGGAGGTGCATTTTGGAAAATTGGCTCGCAACGAAATCGGCTGCTAGAAGAAGATCGTTTTGGGAATAAACAAAAGGTAAAACGGTCGTTTTTTTGAGTTTCAAGAGAATCGCACTGAAGTCCGTGTCTTCTTTTTCAGACACCGCGCGAGGCCGTTGCCTGTAATTGCCCAAACGGTTTTTAGGGGTGGATTTAAACGATCTCGATGTTCCGTTCGCCGTCGGATCATTCTGACTTGCAAACACGCGACAGTATCTCCAGGATATAAAGATTTAGTGCCCTAGATACTAATGCGTTTTTGTACGAACTAGCTTCTGCCTGGCGTGTACAAAGGACTGTGATGTAATTGCGCGCTTGAAAAAAAAAACCAAATAAAAGAGGGTAGCCGATGTGTGTAGTGTAGTGTAGTGCGGCGAGTGTCCAGGAAATCAACCATGAAAACACTTGCATCCGTACCGAGAGCCCCTTCAGCACTGCTCGTTCTTACATCTTGGATCCTCGTCCTCGTGGAGCTATGTACCGGTAACTTTTTAAAGTTATTTTGTTTTTGTTTATGTTTCGTCATCTCAGTCTCCTTTTATTTTAATTAGAGACCGAAAAATTTGTCCCGTTTAGTGGGATTTGATATCAAAGCGGAACGGCAGCTTAGTGTTAAGCCACCCGGATTTTTGCCGCTCGGTAATTTCAAAACGGCATTGCGTCTCGGTAAGACACGCAAAATTTACAAAAACCGCCAATTCGAACGCTGAATAATGGAAACTCGAATAGTCGCCAATTAAAGTTTGATACATTTTGGGATTATTTGACTAATTGCTTTAATCGCCGCTAACAAACAAGTTTCGAATGCGATTACAATTTGTTCCTACCTGGAAATTAATAACGATCCTCGCGCGAATGTTATATATGTTCGCCTCCCACGGCTTCGATAGAGGTTAATTTGCTGCAAAAACTGTTGCGACGCACGCGCTAATTACACACCGATCGTGCGCAAAACGCCAACGTACAATAACTGTTTCGTACCTAATATTTTCAACGTATCCTAACTTATTTGCGAGGGCGAAATTATTTCCAACGTGTGGGTCGAAACGACGCTCGAGAGGCAATTAAAAAAAAAAGTTTGAATTAATGTACTTTTTAGCGGTGCCGCCATTAAGGACCCGACGAATACGGCGGATTCATCAAAATCTCCGCTCTTTTCCTAGGACCACTTTAATAATTTAAAAACAAAATGGCAAAGTAAGAGCCTTGCCATATTAAAGTTGTAAACGAAAATTGTTTTACATTACTCCTTTTTTTACGTAATTAACCCAAGTTAAGATTTCGTTTTAAAATATGATGACTACGAGCTTTTGATTGGTTTATTCCTACCGGATATTGTTTACACTCACAAAGTTTACAGGCGGAAAGCTCTGTATTGCCAGCTGGCAGGGCATTGTCTGCAAATTCTATGTCTGTCGGTTTTCGCCCACTTTGCTATTACCTCACCACGCAGTGTTTACGCAGATTTAAACGCTATTTTATCTACTAATACAAACTACAACGTTTATTGAATCGAATTTATATTATATTCTATTATAACGTGATCTTTTAAACAAAATAAATCATTAAAAATATTAGTTTTTGTATATTGTATTTTGTGTTGAGGGTACAAATCTAATTTACCGACTTTTCACTTAATGTCAATTTCGAATTTTTAACTTACTAATTAACTAATTTTCGTACACGACGTCATCATTGCAAGTATGCAACCAATATCACAGTATTCGTATTACAATACGTTAATCGCGGAACTAACACTAGAATCGCTATCACTAGAACTAACACAAGACCTAGAACTAAAATCATTCGGGTTTAGCCGTCTTGAGAGACGTGCGGCTAAACCCGAATGTTTCTAGTTCTAGGTCTAGTGTTAGTTTTAGTTTTAATTCAACATCAATATACAATCTAGCACTATCTAGTGCTACCTAACACTGTCGTTAGAACTAACACTAGAGCTAGAACTAGAATCATTCGGGTTTAGCCGTACGTCTCTTAAGACGGCTAAATCCGAATGTTTGCATTCGCCAAGTATCAATCAATGTTCGCCCCAAGTATCATGAACAATAATCTCGGCCGACTATCTCCGAATCTCGACCAAATATGATATTATTTGTTATTGATTATTTGTTCCATAAAGTTATTAATAGTAAAACCAACCCAACCTAATCCAACCGAACCCAACCCAAGTATTGTTCGGCCGACGTCTTCGAAGTCGGCCAAGATTACTTCTTATATCACGAATAATACTTGGGTTGGGTTGGTTTTACTATTAACAACTTTACCAACCCAACCCAATCTGCCACAATATGATAAACAATGCTTAGGTCGGCCGAGATTATTTCTTATATCACGAATACAAGTTGGAGCGGCCGACGTCTTCGAAGTCGGCCGAGATTATTTGTTCCATAAAGTTGTTAATAGTAAAACCAACCCAACCCAACCCAACCGAACCCAACCCAACCCAAGTATTGTTTGCGATATAAGAAGTAATCTCGGCCGACTTATGACCTATGACTATGAAGTTACTTCTTATATCACGAACAATACTTGGGTTGGGTTGGGTTGGTTTTACTATTAACAACTTTACCAACCCAATCTGCCACAATTGCCATTTAGGACTTTTTTGCACCTATTTATAACTTTCCTTGTCAAAAATACAAAAAAAGAAACTTGGCAGTTAATGGGTTAAGAAGGGCTTACTAATTAACTAATTTTCGTACACGACGTCATCATTTCAAGTATGCAACCAATATCACAGTATTCGTATTACAATACGCTAATCGCGGAACTAACACTAGAATCGCTATCACTAGAACTAACACAAGACCTAGAACTAGAATCATTCGGGTTTAGCCGTCTTGAGAGACGTGCGGCTAAACCCGAATGTTTCTAGTTCTAGGTCTAGTGTTAGTTCTAGTTTTAATTCAACATCAATATACAATCTAGCACTATCTAGTGCTACCTAACACTGTCATTAGAACTAACACTAGAGCTAGAACTAGAATCATTCGGGTTTAGCCGTACGTCTCTTAAGACGGCTAAATCCGAATGTTTCTAGTTCTAGATCTAGTGTTAGTTCTAGTGAAGGTGCAAAACTATCACTAATACTAGACCTAGAACTGGAAAGTTTCGGGTTATTCCACGCTATATTGTTGTTTATAAATATATATATATATTGATTAATCATCGTACCGACGTCATCATTGCAAGTATGCAACCAATATCACAGTATTCGTATTGCAATACCCAAGTCGCGGTATTGGTTGCATACTTACAACGATGACGTCTAGTATGATAATTAATTAACACACTATATAGTTATATATATATATTATATAAAAAGTAATAGTTTGATAGAAATTTAAAAAGAATAATAAATTTTTGATATCGTTTCAATAAAAGTTGTATAAATTTAAATATAGACCGGCGCATCCACCAATTGTATTCAGGAGAAAATAAAAATAGAATAAGTAAATATAAAATGTTTTTTTTTTTTAATATGAAATGTAAATGATAAAAATAGAGGTTATTGCTGGTATATGGAATGATAAGAAAACGAGCGATGGTGGAAAATGTGGTGCGATAATTAAGAATTAATTTAAACCGGGAAATGTTTATGCATTCGGGCGACAATTTAGTTTGCATTTTTAATTTATCCGGACGTATTTCAACAGGGTGACGGCGCGACTTCGCAGCGCATTGCGCGATAGTAGTTGGGTATGAAAATTTTAAAAGTCGACCGTTCGTTAAATATTCATTCGGTTCCGCTATGGTAGCAAATAAATAAGTAAAACGAATTTTTCTAAGAACAGTAGTTCTATTTAAAACCTCGTGTGATCATTAATGGTCGTTCGGAAAATGGGGCGCGAATAAAATAATTAATACGCGATCAGGAGAACCGTTCGAAAACAATATAAATAACAATTCGGGTCTCTCGAGGGCCGGCAATTAGTAATTAATACCGGTCGGGTATTTTATCGAAGCTACGCATTAAATTATGTTTGCCGGGCTTTCAACGTTGCGCCCTTCTCTTTACCCCCAAAAATGCTAATTGATATAATTGCGATAATTATCAAATTTCATCACTTGGGACGGATATATTCGTAAACAACCGCTCGATTAATGCATTTAACCTGTCAAAATCTGTTTTCAGTTATCGCTAATAGTATTTTAAATGTGACCATTGTGTTTATCCAGCCGTCAATCAACCCATGCTATAATATGTTAAGTCGAAATTTAAGTTCAAAGGTTAATTAGGTACCTATGACGTGCGTTCTGTCGGGCAAATAACCTCGAAAAATACGCTATTTAAAAATTCAGACCTTTTCAGGTGCATAATTGTATGCAGAAAACTGGAGAGGGTTCTAATTACGAATGCAAACGAAATAATCGAATAGACCCACATATGCATACATACAGGTGCGCGAATTTACCAGCGCGCACCCAATTAATTGTAAATAAATAATTGTTTTTGAAGTGTTACTATTTTTATACTAATCCTATTTCACCAAATTATTTACAAATTTACAATCGCCACAGAATTTAATCAAATCTTATGTACTCAACTAGACAATCAAATATTAGGTTAGAATTTGCATAGGCAATGTCATTTGCATTGCTAATTGATGCCAGTTTAGAAGTTGTTTACAAATTTTAAAAGCAATACCATAAAATTCATACAAACCAACACGAATTTATATATATATGTTTTAATTATGATTAATTATTGAATATTAAATTATTATGTTATAAATATATCGAGGAATTTTGAGTAAAATCGGCAAATTTTTACGATCCCTCGGACTAGACAAATATCTTTTCAATATGAATATGCATACACGATGTTGGTTTGAGCCTTTTGGGGATTCCCCAATATCAGACTCCATTTCTAGGGATACACAAATATCGGTCGTAGGATTTCTAAAGATTTTAGTTGAGCTAACTTTTAACATTCGAAGTAGTTGAATCCTTAGTAATAAAGCGAATAAATATATGCCAAACTTTTTTGACATGGAAAAAAATGATGTTCAAAAGAATATTGTGATTAATTCTAGTATATTTAGCCATGATCAACTGGACTGCGTGTTCGCCGAATAAAGTGATGCCAGTAGGGTATGCAACCAACATTTGCCATTGTAGGCAAAAGCCGGATAAGAAAGCGCTCTTACTAAAATAGCATAATAAGACAAGTATGAGCAAGTTGCTTCACGTGAATATCTAAAATGACATTATTAAAATGTTTTAAAATGTTATTATTAAAATATTATTAAAAAAAATGATTTCCGTCGAAGTTTTGAACTTGTTTATAAACGGGTACATTGTCATTTTATCACTGACAAAGATACAGCAGGTCAGAAAATTGCATAGTAGAAGGGTATTTTTCTTATTTGCGCATTTATTAGCCCCGAAATAGCATTAACCTTGCAGTGGTCACTGTTGGTTGCCTAACCTATTGGCATCACTCTTTTACACGGGAACTATGC